TCACTTAATACAACCCTGAACCCTATTAACAGTAAGACTAGGGGTATCTCACGAACCCGGTACACCTTTACCGCTCGAGGTGTACCATTACGACAGAGCAAGATCCTAGAAAATATCCTAAAAATCTACGTGGCTCCCAGGGTATAAAGCCCCTGGTTCGTCCACTCCTTCTAGCTGCTCCCAGGGTATAGAGCCCCTGGTTCGTCCACGTAACCTCCTCCTACGGCTCCCAAGGTATAGAGCCCCTGGTTCGTCCGGAACTCCTTTCTCTTTCCTAACTATACCTAAAACCACCGGTCGAGTACTGCCCTCGACCGAATCCAGGATCTCGCGCTCGTAACAGTATATTGTTTTATTTTCTAGATCAGGCTAGGATATTTTTGTACTCGTGATTTTTAATATAACATGAAAATATATCATAGAAAATGAAAATAAATTCTTCGTTTTGTAATCGCATTATATATTGATTGTCTGTTATACTGTTCATGTTTCACATGAAAATAGGTAGGTCCCTCTCAAAACGTCCGTCCCGCTCAAGTTCCATCACACTTGTGCCAACAACGATTTCTAGAATCGTTGAAGGACTGTGTATTCCACGGAATCTCTAGCGTAGGCTTAAGTGAGCTGCAACAAATGGTTCTCCATCGTCATCTATGGATGAGGATGGAAAGTCATTCTTCATTCCTACTATTATACTCGTCTGTAGTTGTATCTCTTTATTGACTGAATCAAAATCAATTTGATATCAATTCGGTTTCGCAGTTTGCAGAATCTCTAAACTTTGATTACAAAATTAGGACATTTGTTTTAGATGCTGTAATTATTCAATTCTAGAGATTTCTTTCACGGGCAGTACAGAAAACGAATACCCACGAAGTATCTAGAACAGAGACAACATAGCAATTTAATGTTCTTCGTCAGATACCCTCGATGTAACAAATACAGTGATTTGATTATATAATATCCAAAGAATAACTTACTGTTATATGCGTTACCCAAAAGATTTGAACCAAATTTATAGTGTAGCTGCATTATTTTGTCTTAATAGTGTGAAGTACGAAGCTGCTGTGCTCAGGACCTGAAAGAAGAGAAAATCAAATTAAACAATGATATTAATTCAGAACAGGGAAACGAAACGACACTACCTTCTAATCACATCTTTATTTCTACGTATAACTGTAATGTCAGCTGACAGTAACGACATAATTCAACAATTAACAAGATAATAAGCAGTTAGCATCGATTACCTTAGTGTATGTTTCGAGTGAGATAATGAAGAATCCGTAGCCTGTCAGGCAACAAGGTACTCTAGACCTAATAATCACAAGTGTTAAATCTCTTCGTAATGTTCGTGTATCTTCGTTCATTGCCAGGCCAGGCCACGGAGCCGAATACATGGCTGTAGCAACATTAGTACTATCTCGTATTAAACAATCGCAACTGTAGGTAAACATAAACAGCTGTCCCACACTGCCGATCATGTGAAATACAAAAATAAAACGTTTCACTGGATGCGTATCTGTCTAGAATACAATGCAATATAAGTAAATATGCAACATTTCGTGTATTATAAGCGTGAAAATGCGTACCGCGGTTTTTATATTTATCACGAAAATACTGTATAGAGCTAGTGTTTAACATTTTGTCGTATACTAACCGCAAGTATCAGGTATCCGGCAAGGCAAATTAACAAGCTAAACAGGAGCACTTGTCCCAGTGAGTACAAACTGTATATTTCTTCGAGCTTATCACAATACGCAATTAATTTCTGATGCTGTCCAACGTAGGTCTTAAACGTGTTGTAATACGTAGCGTTCGAATTCCCGTTCCTTTTTGACGTCTGGATCGCATTTTTCATGTTTTCCAATCTGTACTGTAGTATACGAAACTGACCAGCCACGTGTATAGTCATTATACACATAAAGTTATCGAAACTAAAGTATAGTATGCCAATTTGGTATACCGAAAAACTCTGCGTCAATAGAAAGTTAAAGATTTAATTATTGTATTAATTACAAAAATATATTGCTGATTATTCATTGTTAAAGTATCATAAACTCATGCAAGAAATACAATAGCTTTATCGTTATTTCCATCTCTCAGCGTTTCTATTTAAATAGTTAGAATATTCTGTTTGATACAATATTGTCAAGAAACATTTAGTTTCTTCCTCTTAGAAAATACATAAAAAATAGCAATACCTGCAGTACAAATACTATCTCAAAGTACGGTGTCCTGGACAAAACATCCGATCTGATGTTAAATGGGAATACCCTGTCTGATTCGTTTCTTCCAATATTTACTGAAATTAAAATACAAATAATTTATTTCCTCTTGTGATAGCTATTTTACGTTATTTACAAGCTTACAAGCTTTGATACGAAATTCGTACAAAATCTGTAATCTAATTAATAATTTCTAGTTACTTGTTGACATCAAATAATCGACTTACCTACGATCGCGCTAAAAATGTAATTTGCTAGAGTCACGTGACAACAGCAAGTGAAGATACAAACGAAGAATACACAAGTACGTTTGGACGTGCCCAAAATTATTCCCTCGTGTAAGTCGTAATTCGAGAGTAAAAATTTCCGTTTCAAATACAGAATTAAGTTAAAAAGATCTTTTCTGTGTATAAACATGACAAGTAACTTGAATAAAGACATGAGTGCGCTTAAAATGTTGCACGTGTTAAGTAGACTGTTCTGCAAGCATAAAATTATATATGATATTATAACATTGCATTTATTTATTCTTACAAAGCACTATGCCATTAATAACAAAAAACGGAACGAATCATTGAAATCATAAACATGTCAGTCTTTTTCTGAAATAATTTACTTTAACTTTCAAATTCTATTTTGTAATTACAGTGTAGTGAAATCAAATATTATATCATGTTTAAAACAAGCAGTATTTAATCAAGATCCTTGTTTTGGGAAATGATATCAGCTTATAAATGTTTTCTATTAATTATACAACAATAATAATGCAGAATTTACGTACCGAAGTTATTTACGATTTTATAGCATTATTAAATTAATTTTCGGCATTACTTACGGTGAAATCATTCTTGGTGTAATAAAATTCAATCGTTATAATGGAACCGATAAAAAATGTACTGCTGATACTGTAAATTAAGGTAATATATCTGTACAATTGTTCCGCCCGATTAGCTGCCATCCAAAGACCAGAGAATTTCATAAACTTCGTTGCTACAACAACAGAAATATCGTCACAGTGCTCCAAAATCATTTTGAATTTCGACTAATTGGATGTTCGATTAAAATTTCGAACGCGCTCTGTGTCCTCGTATCGATTTTCATGAGTTGTCGAGAATAATCAATTCGACGCCATAAGGATTTGATATGTTGACATCCTTTTAGTCACCGATCGCGCAATTTGTGTTTATTCTTATTACTATGTACGCCAATTTAATAGCTGCCTCTCATTCGAGAGACAATGTATAGCACCTATGTGTTATGTATGATCCTAGTAATGATAGTAGGAAACCCTCTGTGAATTTCAATTCTAACTAACAGGTGTGTTGCATTGCAAATAGAAATATCAAATACACTAGTAATGTTTAGTGTAATTGGTTTTGCCATGGAACAAGTGTGAATGCAATTTGGCATAATAAAAATTAACCACGATATGACTATTTCTCTCTGTCAACGAAAATAGAATCTTTGTGCACCCACATTTTGTCAAGAGTAACAAACATCTTTTGTCTGAATCGACTCAGAAAGAATTTCGATCATAATAAAAAGTGATATTCCAAAGTTGCTTAGCGCGATTACTTGTACACAAGAATTTGTTACGCTTTACAAAGAAGCATGACGCGATGGAACTATCTTCACTGTGCACTAAACACAAGTAAACCTCTGAACAAGCAGATGTTTGAATTTCCATACAAATTCTACGCATCAATTATTGAAGTGATTTCGAAAAAATCAATTTTATTTGATCTTTGATCTAGAGTTATCCTGTATTTATCGTTCATAGACTTTATATTTATTCTTTGCGTTACTTGCACGCTGTTATTTAAAGAAGTATTCTGATATACATGTCATCGAAATTGCTACTCGTAGATGTGGGAGGAATGCATAGAATTGATGAATTATGCATGAATCAGGGAATGTTGTAACGTAGCCTTCTATAGGACTGAGTAGTGGCTGGTTGTCGAATATTCTTTTGTGAATAAAATAGACTAATGTTAAACTGGACTGATGATTGAATCGTTGACAAAGGAAGGAGAATGCAATCTCGTGAGTCATCATGGTTTTGATAGATTTTTTAGTAAAAGACTGTACATTGACAGGTAGACAGACCACTTTCTATACATTTATCGACGCATATTACGCAGTGAGTATTTAGCTGTTGATGACATCCAAATTCATTTTAGTATGTATAGAATATAATTCAACTAACGTAATTGTTCGTACACTCCGCGGATGAGACGCGCTTGCTGTGTGACGCGTCGACGAGGGTCGTAAGTCCTCGTCACGAATATTTTCGACACCCGGAAGAATGCACGTTTAAGATCCCTACGTCCTGTTAAGTCCGTTGGGATTAATTGGGTTTGAAATAAGCTGGACAACGTGTGCAGGAAAAACTATATATTTTTGTATAATAATTAAATTGTGTTCGTGAAGATTGTTTCGCGTTTTGTGTTACGATACCGAGTTCGTGGTATACTGGTCAGAAATCAAGTCCCGCCCGGCGATCGGGACCCTGGCTATATACCCCTGGTCCCGATCGTCTTTTGGATTTTCTTCGCGCCGGGTGCAAAAGTTCGAGGCGCGTGCCGCAGAACATTCTCGGGCCTTCGAGGACCGAGAATATTCCGCGACACGTGCAATCGATCGATTTTGCACCCGGCCCGAATCGGTTGCCCCCGGCACCGTTTCTAACGGACCTCACCGATGAGTAATATAGAACATAGCAAGATTCCGTGTGCTATGGAACAGTAATGATATTTTTATTTAGTCGTTTCAGTCGTTTCAAGTGTCTGGCTCCTTTAATAATTCGTGGTACATTTCTTATATTGGTTTGAACATCAGTTTCTAGCGCAATTTGTCAGACTATGAGTGTTGAATTTCATGCCATTTGACAGTGCAAAAAGTACACGTGATTGATTTTTTATACATATATTCCATATATACAATGTATTATGTTATAATAACTGTCTAATGCATTACTAGAATCGAACTGATTATGCGCCAGTAGAGCTTTGTTTTAATAATGTGAAGTATGACATTGCGGTACTCAGGATCTATCACATAGAAAAAGGCGTGATCTTATTCTTTAAGTTGGTTTCGTTATGATTCATTAACACGTTACGAGACAACAAAAAAGTGGTGATCGTTACGTTAGTGTAGGTCTCCAGTGACACAGGGAAGAATCCATTAGCAGTTAGACGGCAAGGCTGTCTCGTTCTCATGACCGCAAATTGCATGTCCTTTCGTATCATTTTTCCAAATTCGTCCATTGGCAAATCTACCCATATTCCTGCATATACAGCTGTGGCCACGCCTGTGCTCGCTCGTGTCAAGCAATCGCAACTGTACGTGAACATGAACAACTGGCACAGGCTTGACGTTAAGAGGTTGATGAAAGTGATACGCCTCGTAGAAGATAAATCTGCCTGCATGGTCAATCATTTTAAGAGTTCAGAGTATACAATAACCGGACAACGAATAAGGTACATATAATGCAGATTGTACCACCAAATAATTAAACAAATAAAGTTCCATTAAAAGTTATCCGTAAAGCAGAGGTACCAAGAACGTGAGGCATACGTGTCGTAATCTAATCTGAAAAGCATTGGTAATGGAAGTATTGCAAATTTGGGCTCGTATTAAGAAAGCCGAAGTAATTAAATGACAATGCACAGGAATAAATCGTAGAAGTAGCCTTTTAAATACAAATTTTGAATAATTACTGAGGATTAGGAAAACTTTGTTTCGAGAGAAGAGAAATTATAATAGTAGAAAACAGATAATATTTCATTTTGAATAGACGTAATATTTACGTAAATGTTAAATAAAATGAAATTTATGAACAAAGATCTTTGTCTAATATTTTATACTGGATCGCATACTCACCGATACTACCTGGTATCCAACAAAACAAATTAACAAACTGAATGTCAACACCTGTGCAAGCACAATACTCGTGAATACTTCTTCGATCTTGCTAGAATATTGAATGAGTGATTGATGCTGTTGAATGCAGTTTCTAAATGTGGCGTAACATTTCTCTCCACAAGACCTTTTATTCAGACTTTTGTGATTCTTCTCACCGTCAGATTTTGAATCATGCATATTTTCCAGTCTGTATTGAAGAATTTGAAACTGACTAGCCACGTGCAGGTTCATAATGCATAAAATATTGTCAGAGCAAATGTAGCATACACCAATGTGAACCAAAGACAACGCCTGTGTGAATAAGAATTTTGAGATTGAAAGCTCACATTCTTCAAAATTTCTAAAAAGAGATAAGTGCCTCGATAGCTTCCTCTAGCAAATCTGGGATGAAAAACCTTAATAATGAATTTTGAAACTATATGTTGTTTTGGAACATTCCTAGCAAACGGACCGATCACCGATCGGGGCGAGTTATACGTCATTTGATTCGTTTAATTCAGTAGATTATTAATATGTATTTCATTATTTGCGAAAATTCGTTATTTTTGTTTAAACTTGTCGGAAAGTTGCAATAAAAAGGTAAGGTTAAGTATATTTTGATAGGTTCGTACAGCCAATCGACAATTATTTGTCCTATTAAATAAGACCATTGCAAAACAGTATTTTTATTTAATTTTAATTATATAATAATATGACATTGCTCATAATTGTATGTTAGCATATATGTTAATTTTAAGACATCTGTAGCTGAGTTAGGTGTGGGTTGGGTTAGAAGCCGGGGGGGGAGGGGGGGGGTGTCACAGGTAGAAACAAGTGACTGACGTCACTGTGTTCATGGTGTAAATTATAAATGCCAGGTAGTCAAGTGCTAATTTGTTTATGCACATATTATGCAGGAGTAGGTCAGGCAGACAGTATGTGCAGCAACAGTACAAAATGTTGCCCCCCTCCTTCCGGGCTTCTAACCTAACCCAAACCTAACTCAGTTACAGATTTCTTAAAATTAACATATATGCTAACATACAATTATAAGCAATGTCATATTATATAACTAAAATTAAATAAATAATACTGTTTTGCAATGGTCTTTGTTGCAGCGTAACAGTGAATTCATAAAGCCAGCGGATATAGAGTCACACCTTTTATAAACAATCAAGGCTTTTGCTTATAACCAAGTGCCCCTAAGGCGGCTATTTAAATAATAAAATCACATAAAATCTGCATGGCCCTCCAAATCCAGTCGCTCTATGACTTTACTACCTGCAATAACATCGACAACCGGTGCCAGATGTTTTATGACCAGACTCAGGTACCGCGCAAAACATCTGGGCACCAAGCGGTGGCCCGAGCCCGTAGCCTTCTCGCGGAAAAACCCGGGCCCGCAAAAATTATTAAAAACCACCGTTATATGCCGCCTCCCACCGACCAACTTCGCCGCCAAAATGATTGGTCGGCGTATTTACAATAAAAACCAATCAGCGACTAATACTTCCTCCCATGGTCTTGGGTACGCCCATGGCGAGGTTAGCTCTTTGGGCGACCTTGGCCCAAAGAGCAGATTGAGTCCAAAAATCAAACAAGCAACACCGAGAATAACACCGAACACTACCAAGCAGACCGAAGACTTCATCTGGCGGATATCATATATTGGAGCCTCCAAGCATATCCCCCTAAACAGTCGTACAATATTAAGTTGGCGTGCGACATTGTGCTACTGCGCAAAACAGTCTTATTTAATAAGACAAATAATGGTCGACCGGCTGTACGAACCTATCAAAATATACTTAACCTTATCTTTTTATTGCAACTTTCCGACAAGTTTAAACAAAAATAACGAATTTTCGCAAATAATGAAATGCATATTAATAATGTACTGAATTAGATGAATCGAATGACGTATAATTCACCCCGATCGGTGAACGGTTCGATGTTAGGAATATACCGTTCTTTTTATTCAGGAAATTGATAATACCTGCATGACAAATGTTATTTCAAAGTATGGAGTCAGTGATAATGGCAAATCGACCCACATATTGAATGGGAGTATCCTGTCTGATTCGTTTTTTCCGATATTAGCTAAAATTAGAAAGATGAATAATTTATTTTAGATCCTTAAATTTTCGTTTTTTTTTTTATTCTAAAGTACTAAGTATTTTAATACCGATGATAAAATTGTGAAAAATAAATTTTAAATTACTGTTAATACTATGAAAAGTGTTTTCATATCACATCAATGTTTTGCAGGTCGAAAGTTTAGAATATTCTCCAATCTGCATAGAATCAAAGATTTTTTATGCAAATACACTTATTTCGTTGAAAAGTAAAGAACATTTTTACATTCACGGAAAATTATAAATGTATATGTAATTGTTTAATAACTATTTTATGAAATAAGTCATCTTGTAATATTTTAATAAAAAATTACATCAATCAGACACTGTTTTACTCGGAAAGAATAGTGCAAACATCTTTGACCATTGCTCCTTTGATGTATGGACCAAAAATAAAGAAGAATGATATTTAGATTATATGAGTTGGTAGGCTTACCTAGAATAGGTTGTACCATGTAACAGACGTTTGAAGCTTCAGTAAAAAAGGTGAAGAAACAAATAAAATAAGTACAGATTTGTGTCCAACTGTCAAAAATCGTTTGTTCCTGCGGCGCATAGTCCGACTGCCAGAAATTCGTTCGCATGTAAGCGATTAAATAAAGAAATTTCTCTTTATGCATCCACAAAATAAATATCTTGAACAATACAATGTTCAGGCATAAAATGTTGCACGCGATGTATGTGCAGGCCTGTAATTGAAGAAATACATATAAAAATTAATACAATTGACTAGAAACAACGTAAAAATTGTAATTTCTATATTCTGGCAATGAAAAATTACGAAACCAATAATTTTATAGCAACACAATAAAATATACTATTGAAAAGTGAAAAGCAGTGACCTCGTTATATAATCAACTTTATTTTGTACCATTGGTTACAGAAAATAATAAATCACAGTATTAATTACTAACAAAATTAATATAGCTTACGGGGGAAATGCCAAAATATCTCACGAAACAAAATCGTTGAAGTTAAACAAATATTCTGCATAGATGCCAAAATTTAAAAACTTCCGAAACATTCCTCCAATAAATTTGAACTGCTATCGTAAAAGCTTTAAATATATTTCCCTTATGCTACAATGTCTTCTTTTCGATAGGAAAACTAAAATAGTCGTGTACTTACGCCAAAATCATCCCAGGAATAATACAAATCCCTCGTCTGGATCCATACAGAGAAGAAGATCGTAAAGACAGTATAAAATAATGCGAAGTTTCTCAAACGTTGCTCGAAGTGATTGTTTGCTGACCAAATGCCGACACATTTCATGAAGAAAGATGATAAAGCAATCGTGAAGTTTTCGCTGTATGCCAAACTCATGGCGTGTTCGAAATAACTGAACAATTTGATTTGGGATTGTCATGTGGAAACTTCACATCCATCATAGAAATCTATCAAGAATAATCAATACAATCAGGTCTTTGATGTAGAAACATCCACTATTCATCATCCTTGCGGCTTATATTTTTCGCGAGTATTGATCGTGCTTCGTTGATTACAAGGAAAAAATGTTACAACGTACTGCCTGTTTCTAAGCGTAGAATTAATGTTAAACATTAATGTGATGTACATGATTCAGGAAACATTATATTGATGATTGACTTGAGGGACCGTCAAATATATTTCTTCGTGAACAATAGAGTCTCTTGAAATATTGAAAGTTTGGTGAGACATTTTGTTCTGCGTACATTGTACATTTTTATAAGCATGTAGAAGATATGAGTTTCAATAGAAGTTTAGTATGTACGGTGTTAGGTCATTTCATAAGTGTTTGAGTATTTTTGTTTCTGCAGATTTTATTCTAGGAATATTTATAGACATATAAGTGTGAATGTTGAAATCTGAATCGTACCGTCACGGCGGTACTGGCCAGGTAGTCGCGTGAGTTTTCTTTTAAACTCTGAGGGGTTGTAAGGCCCTCTTAACCTTCGTGGTACGCGGGTTCCTAGCCGTCGCTCGCCAAATTAATCTTGAGCGACTGTTGAATTGCCGGATTGTTTCGAATCGAAATCCGGCTGTTCTCTTTAATGTCGAATCACGAGTTGTTGCTCACGAACCGCTTGAGCTGAGTTTTCGCGAAATGATGTTCGAACAACGAATGGTTCACGAGACGATTGAACTTTCTAAGCTGCGATTTCTTCGAAGATCGAATGACGAGTGTTCCCGAAACGATGGAACTGCAGATTTTCGACCGTTGTCTTCGAACCTTTTGCGACGAGTTAAAGATTTCGATCGTTGTTGTCTGAGATTTCAGCGACGAGTTAAAGAAGATTTCGACCGTTGTCTTCGAACTTTTAGCGACGAGTTAAAGATTTCGATCGTTGTTGTCTGAGGTTTCAGCGACGAGTGTCGAAATGTCCGGAGCCCGTTTCCTCCTCGGCTTGAACCCCCTCTGAGACGCGATTTTGGGGGTTCGTTAACCGATTCGCGTTGACTTTTTCCGTTTATCGATTGGCCATCGACTTGGGGGAGGAGGATCGATTTTCCTGCCCCGTTGGCCAGGAAACTCCTCCCTCGCGCGATCGTGGAGGAGGAAGAGTCCCATCTCACCCTGGACGAGGGTGACCGAGGTTTCCTCCCCAAGTCGAAGGCCCCGTTAATTTTGCCGAGGAAAAAACGGGATTCCGAATTACGCCTGGCTACACGTGCGTTGCAGACGTTTTATGGCTGCATTGTTCCATGAGTTGGCGACGGTCGTTGTAGAGGACCGTGCCACCCGCGGAACAATGCAGCCCTTCGTCGGTCAACTCGGGCCTTGCACTTTCGAAAAGCTAAAGCGCTTGAATGCTTTATGATGAAATTTGCCAGATGCGGAATGTTCGAAGACTTTTTCGACAAAGTCAAGGTTCCGCATCTGGCACCATAAACGAGCGGAAAAACCCGAGCTGACCGGACGGAACAAAATCCGTGTGTAAAACTATATCATGGAGCCTCAATTTTAAAAAAGGGGTAATTAACGTGTACCTTGAGGCTGACATAAAGTCGTTAAAATTTCTCTTATTGAATTTTATGTGACTTCCCCATTAACGAGATATTTGCTTAGACGAGCAGCTTATACATATATCTACATATGTATAGAAGATTCTGTTCTAATTCTACCCAAAAGCAAGAATAAAGCTTTATGAATAACGAAACTATTTTTGTTACTTTATTATTTTTACTCGCATACGTAACAAGTACAAAGAATGAATTTTGTATTTTACAAAAATTATCGTGCTGTTTTACGATTCATCCGTGGCGCGTTGCTTTAACAGAGTAAAGTACGAAACTGCGGTACTCAACACCTGTAATAAAACAAACGTATCAATTGTATGATACCATAAACGTCACAATATCAGAACTCAATTAGCTAAATCGAAAATTTGTTACACTAGTGTATGTTTCCAGAGATACAACGAAGAATCCACGGGCTGTCAAACAGCAGGGTAGTCTGGACCTCATCACAACAAATATTAAGTCTCCCCGCAGCATACTTCCATAATCATTCATTTGCAGATCAGACCACGGAGCTGAATATGCGGCTGAAGCAACATTCGTACTGTCTTCTATCAGACAATCGCAACTGTAGGTAAACATCAGAAGCTGGGCAGTGCAACCGATTGTGTGAAAGACGAAAATAACACGCCTTATGAGTGGTGCGTCTGCCTATAATGCATAATGTTTGTCAGTACAAGTTACGAGGTAACCCATATAATGGAAAGTATAAAAAATAGAATTATTGAAGAATAAAAGTAACGTTGAACAATATAAATCTACGTTACAGTAATGGAAGGAAATAACAAGAACCTGGAATTCTGTCATATACTAACCATAAGTACTTGGTATCCGTCAAGGCAAATTATTAAGCTAAACACTACCACTTGGCCTAATGCAAAGGAACTGAATACTTTCTCAAGCTTGTCACAATACGCAATGAGTGCTTGATGCTGTTTAATGTTGGCTCTAAGTATGGCGTAATATTGCTCTCCATATTGCGACGGAGATTTATTCCACCTATCGTTATTTTTTTCTTCATTGTTCGCGCATTTCATATTTTCCAATCTGTACTGTAGTATACGAAACTGAGCAGCTGCATGAAAATTCATTATGCACAAAAAATTATCGAAGCAGAAGTAGCACACGCCGATTTGGTACAAGCATAAAACCTGTGGGAATATATTCAATTGTGTCCGTAATTAAACAAAAATAGAAATATTGAAATTTTACGTGAAACGAAAGAAATTATTTCTTAAGTATTAAACTTGAATATTGACAATGAAAGCAAAGATTTTGGAATGTTCATGTTTCCTTCCGGTATTATTGATACGATAGAAAAATTCTTGAACTACATACTTAAAAGTATTTCAGTGAATCTGACAGACCACGGTGTGACTTGTGGTAATTTGAAATGTGTGCCTTTCCATTAGGGTTAGTAACACCCTTGTATGGAATTTGACAGTTCTTTTTATTCTGATGTTCCTAAGAAAACGTTACCTTTCGTCAAAAAATCTTGCGAAACGTACAAAGACTGTCAATACCTGTAACAGAAATAACATTTCAAAATACGGTGTCATGGATATCGGCAGATTCCCTCTTATGGCAAATGGAAGTATCCTGTCTGATTCGTTTCTTCCAAAGTTTACTGAAAACACAATTAATGAGTATGTAGAGTGAAGTACGAAACTTGTTTACCCTAGTTTTTGGATCAAATACTAAACAAATTACGCATTTTGCAATAGTATGGACGATTCAATAATTTCTTACAGTTACCACTTAATCGACTTACCCGCGATAGGGTACATGACGTAACTAATTAGCGTTGCATGAGCAAAGCATGTAAAGGTGCAAACGAAGAATGCAGAAGCGCGTTTGCATGTGTTCACAATCGTTTGTTCATATTCGTCGTAATCCGATTCCAAAAATTTCTGTTTCAAGTACGCAATTAAATAAAGTAAATCTTTTTTGTGTGCAAGTAAAACGAGTATCTTGAACACAGACATGCCCAAACTTAATACGTTGCACATATTATACAGGAACATCTATGAACACACAAACATAACACATGAATTTGGCAACCTGAAACTCTCAGTTCACGTTTATGCGTATTAGTAAAATTCTAAACATCAGATGTAGGTTCTTCTACAAATCAAGTACGTTTTAAACCTAAGCGTTTATTTAGAATATTTTTGAATATTATAAATAATATTTAAATCAATGTATAAAATGGGGTGCGGCCGAATAACATGTAAAAAATAAGAACAAAATATGGAATAAAATTTGTTCATTTAAAGCTTAATTTTCGAAAAAATCGAGTTTGAAAATCCTATTCGTACGTATGCTGTTACGGCCAAGTAACGGTTCGTCGAGCATCGTATAACGCGTATCGTGTTTATGAACAATGATCTGAGACTTCTTTTAATAGTTATTTGCCTAAGCAGTCAGTTTTCGTTGGTCTATCTAACGATGATGTACACGATACGCGTTATACGATGCTCGACGAACCGTAACTTAGCCGTATGAGCATACGTAAAAATAGGATTTTCAAACTCGGTTTTCTCGAAAACTGAGCTTTAAATGAAAACATTTTATTCCATATTTTGTTCTTATTTTTTCATAAGGAACCACCTCGTGCCCGCTAGTACATGTTATTCGGTCGCACCCTGTATACGATATTTTACAACGCCAATAATTGTTTAGAATTTATGCATACAAGTCATTGAATGCTTCAATTAAAGTTTTAGTAAATACATTTATTATATACTTACACCAAAGTCTTCTTGTCTGACGTAATAAGTGTCTTCACCCACAATCCACGCCATAAAAAGCATCCCGCCAATGTTATAAGCCACGGTGATGTTTCTGCATCTTTGTTCGATGTTATCAGTAGCCATCCAAATACCAGATAATTTCATAAATATGGACGTTAATTTGATAGAAATATCGTCGGTGTGTCCCACAGCCATTTTTCAATTTCGACTTTTTGTTCGATTTGTATATTGAGCCCGTTCCAGATACTGTGTATCGGTTTTCTCGAATCCAAGATAACGAATTCAGCGCCATATGGCTTTGAACTACTAACATCTTCCTGTTTACCGATCGCATGATCTGTATTTATTTTTATTGCTATATATGCCATTGTAATTACTGCCCTTGGTTCGGAGAGCAGTGCATATGTTCAGGGTTTTATGTATTATTCTAGAAACGGTGCCGCGCAACCCTCTATGATCCAGTATCGTGACTAACATCTGTGACGCATTGCAAGTCTAACATTAGAGCTGTGAAATTTAATATCCGAATCGAATGCTTGTGTGCAATTTGTTTTCACTCGGACCACTGTTTTACCGCTGTTTATCTTACAAGGATTAGTGAACTATGCTGGAACCAATATACAAATTGAACAAGTTTAGTCACATCCTACAAGACTTTGTTTAACTTCGCACATGGATCACGTTCGAGTCTCTCTATGAATTATAAACACTTTTAATTTTTATTGGCACGAAAACAATGGCAGGTACGGTAGATTTATTTGTTGATATTGTATAATGGTAAATTTTCCATAGATACACACTTGCATACTAGAACGATGATACGAGGATTAAGATGTCTATGAAACTCCCATTGAATTTCAAATAAGTACATAGGTACATACTACGAATTTACATTTTTCTGTGGAATGATTATTGAAGTGTATTGAAAGAAATCGACTCCATCTAGTCTATGATATACCAAAATTAGTTATGCACTATTATTAGGAAGAAAAGTATTATGCTATCCGTGCCGCTACAATTGCTACTCTTGAGCATGAGAAAGAGATGTATGGAACAGGCGACTTATTTATGATTCATGGTAAACCACGAAGAGGCCTTTTGTAATCCCGTATGGTGCCTAACTATCGTCGTTATTCGTAATACAGAATTTTTTACCATAAAAACTGACTGACGTTTATTTCACTCGCAAAGAGAATGGAAATCTGTACATTGAGACGAAGAAATTTGTTACTACTTTACGGTGGATTGCTGACAGAGAGAGTAATGTAAAGTGACGTTTAGACGGATTGTGACAGCAAACTTACGTTTAACAACAAGTGTATTTAATTTGATAAGTGGAAGTGTTCTTTTCTTTTCAAAATTGGAAATATGAGTTCAATTTTTCTGAATATCACGCCAGCGCTTAAACAACATGCATTGAAATCTCTAATCGAGACGCTTAGAAAGTCATCACTGTCATCTTAATGTGCATTCAAAGATGACAACAAGATTCGAAAACAAATCAAGGTATGAACTAAGGTAAGCTGAATAACTTATTGATTTTCAAAAGAACACAAATGTATACTTTATTTATGTATTACCATATGTAAATGGAGTTCATTATTACTTGTATCATTGTAGAAGGTTTGTTATTTCTATTACATATTGTATTTATGCAACACATAAAATATTATACTTACACAAGATGTAAAAAAGAAGGGTTTAAGACTTTAAGGGCCTATCACCAAGAAGATGACCATTGTTAGTATGAACAGAATCGTTTGGATCGCGTGTATATCTTTGACCACGCGTGTAGAAAATACAAGTGCTTAATTGTTTATATATTTAATATTTACAACGCATTGTTTTTCGATGCATATACTGTGTGCTATGAAACTTAAACAGATTTTGTACTCGTTGCTTCATCAGTACTCTGTTTTAATAACGTGAAATACGACATTGCAGTGCTCAGAATCTAAAACATAGAAAGAAAAGAAATGATATATGTATACATTTTTATCAAAATAGCGAATTACAGGTAAGGAAACCGAATAACATTTTATTTATGAGAGAATAAATCTTCATTCAATAAAAGCTCGTCGGTTAAAGTTTCCGAATTAAATGAGGAAATAAATATTTATTCAATGTATATTTCTGGTAAATTATATCACAAGTAATTAATATTCTCGTTAATTTTCTGTGTTTCAGAAACAATCGATTAATTTCTATAACACTTGACACCTTAATGGAGAGCAATTGGAAGATAAGTTTTACAAAATTATTCGAAAATATATAGTTTCAACCTATAATTTGAATAGGTTGTTTTTTAAAATTATTTATTAGCCCGTTACATATGTATGGGGAAGGTATTAATAATTACATTAGTGTAAGTTTGCAGCGATACCGGGAAGAATCCATTAGCAGTTAGGCAGCAAGGTCGATTCGTTCTCATGATCGCAAGTTGCATATCCTTTCGTAGCAATTTTCCATATTTTCCCATTCGTAAATCCATCCATGGAATTGCATATATCGCCGTAGCTACATTCGTGCTTTCTCGTATTAAGCAATCACAACTGTACGTGAACATGAAGAGCTGGCACATGCTTGACGTTAAGAGGTTCACGAAAGTGATACGCCTCGTAGAAGATAAATCCGCCTGCATGAACCACCATATCACGAATGTAAATAAGTTTTATAGCAGGTGAACAATATTTAATGTGAAACGATTTATAACAGTGATGAATAAAATTTGTCTTCTCTTATTTGAATAAAATTTTGCCTATTTCTGATCTATAATATAAAAATATTGAAACTACAGCATATACTAACCAATACCACCTGGTATCCAACGAAACAAATTAACACACTGAAAATCGCCACCTGTGCAAGCACAATTATCTTAAATACTTCTTCAAGCTTATCACAGTATGCAATGAGTGCCTGATGCTGCTGAATACAGTTCTTAAATGTGGCGTAACATTTCTTGTCGGAATATGATGAACATGCTTTCGAATTTTCATCTCGTTCCCCACTTTTAGGCTTAAACTTTTGTATACATTCCAATCTGTATTGCAATATACGAAACTGTCCAGCCACGTGTAAATTCATAATACATAAGAAGTTGTCGGTGCATATGTAGCATATGCCAACGTGATACAAGGACAAAACCTACATAAATTTCATAATTTAAATATTTTTCGTAATAATTAATACAATTTGTCTGCTGCGATTCGCTTAAAGATTTACCTGTAAAATAAACGTTACTTCAAAATATGGTGTAAGAGATAATGGAAGATCGAGCCACATATTAAATGGGAGTATTCTGTCAGACTCATTTCTTCCTATATTTGCTAAAATAAAAACCAAATAATTCATTTTGTACTGTATGTTAAGTGATAGATTGAAATTATGAGTTACTTTAAAAGCTGTAATTATATTTTTTAGTATTATTTGTATTATTAAGAATATTTTCCTAGCACATGAACCGTATATTTCGAACGTAAACTTCATAATATTGCTAAGATTTTCAATTAACATAATGATGAATTTAGTAAATGAAACACACAATGATTAAGCAGTTAATCTGAAATGTGTGTTTAATTTACAGATTGCAAAATTGTTGCTGGTACTTTTGCAAAAAGGTGTGCGTGCATCGTTCGAACATGGAGTTTGCGATTATAATTATAAATATCTATTTTGAAGTATTTGCTACATAAAGTAAGTCATTTTATAATATTTTAATTTCATGAGTCGATCGACTTACCTACAACTGGTCTTATTACGTAACAGATTATCGAAGCCTCTGTGAAAAAAGTGAAGAAACAAATGAAATATGTACAAATTCGCGTCCAACTGGTAAAAATCATTTGTTCCTCCGGAACGTAGTTCGATTGCCAGAAATTCGTCCGCATGTAAGTGACTAAATCAAGAAATTTCGTTTTATGCAGAAACAGGATGAATATTTTGAACAGACCCATGTTTAAGCATAAAATATTGCACGCGATGTAAGTGCAGGTCTGTAATAAAAGAAGAAACATATCAACATTAACAATTTTGACTAAACGTAGTAATCAAAAATTGATTGCCTATATTGAACTGTTGCTTGGAATTATTAATAATAGAATGATAATTTGCAATTTTACATTACTTATAATTCGTTGCTAATATCTTAACTAAATATCTATGAAAAAAATATAGAATTTCATTTTATAATATACCAATGATTTTGTAAGCTCATAAAAAATGACTTCGAAGAAAACTTAAATTCCATCAGTTACATGTATTTTGCGCAGTAGTGTAAAATTATCCAGAGAGGGTTTTTTATTTCGCATTTAGTTGAAATACTTTTTATATCAGACCGATAATTTTTACTTCACGGATAATCGCAACTTGTCCTTGTTAGAGAAATTACAATTGCCGTGCACTTACGCCAAAGTCTCCCCAAGAGAAATATAAGTCCCTTGTCTGAACCCACACAGAAAAGAGAATCGTGAAAACAGTATAAATTAAAGTGACGTTTCTCACACGTTGCTCGATACGATTCCTTGCTGTCCAAATGCCGACGCACTTCATAAAAAAGGACGATATAACGATGGAAAAGTCTTTACTGTACGACAAACTCATGTCGAATTTCGAGTCCCTCTGATTTGGAATTTGTATACGGAATCTCCGCATCGAGCATCAAAATGTGTTGAAAGTCTGGGTTAGGTTTCAGCCTGGTCTTTGATCTAGTTGCATCCTCTATTCATCGTTCGTGCACTATATTTTTCGTCACTACTACTCGCGTAACGCTGTTGCAAGGAAAAACCATGATACACAGGTGGACGCAGTGGCGATCTATAGAATCGATGAATTATGCATCATTTGGGGTGCATTATTACAAAACTGCCCGCGGGATTGAGTAATAACGGCACAGTTTGATTTTACATTGCGAGAAGGAAGCATAATTTTGATAAAGAAAGGAAGGTATTTAGCTCGCGAACGAAGAACACAGAATTCAACCCCTCGTAACAAATCTACTATTACGCCGCGATAGTGAACGATAGACTGATAAAAAAATGTGAAACCTGGAAGTGACAGATACACAAATTTTTGTTCATTCGCATATATTACTAGATGATCAGGTATTGAATATATTTACTAGATATTAAAGTGTTTTTACTTAAATTAACTTAATTTATAACTTAATAATTCCTCTTTTAGAAGTTTATTTTAAATTTTAAGAACATGTCTTTTATGGATTTAAATGGCACGGTGTAATAAAAAATAGCACCAGTATGGAAAGTAGTACTAATACAATTCTATTCCATACTTAGTACAAAGTTTCCAAAGCTATTTTACATTTTGTAATACTTTTACTCGCGTATATAACAACTACAAAGGATCGATGAAAAGTTATGTAGAGAACGTATTATTTTACGTATTAAGCGATCTGAGCAAATTCACTGTATAGTCGTGGAGCCTTGTCTTAATAATGTGAAGTACGAAAATGCTGTACTCAGCACCTGCAAGAAAAAATCGAGCTAACTCCACTTCGACAGTTTTAAATAGAAAGGCTTAACAATGATATTAGCCTCTTCAGGGACTACAATTAGTATTTAAATCATTTTGAACATTGTAACGTGTCGATAATCCCAAAAAATTGCGAATTTTTATATTGCTAAACAACTTTAGCAAATTATTTATTGGTACTGACAATAAGTGCAAAAGACTTTTAAGAATAATAGTCTATCATTATTTGAAAATGGTGCCACATAGATTATCTATTAACTAATTAACAAACAATAAACACTCAACGTTTATTACCTTAGTGTACGTCTCCAAGGATATGTTAAAGAATCCATAGCCTGTTAGGGAACAAGGTGATCTGGACCTCACCATCACAAGTACTATCTCTTTTCTCAGCCTACTTCCATATTTATTCATCGGTTGATCAGTCCACTGAGATGAGTATATCGCCATAGCAACATTTCTACTCTCGTGTATTAAACAATCGCAACTATAGGTAAACATGAACAGCTGGGCTATGCAGGCGATTATGTGCAATATGAAAATACTTCGTCTTGTAGCGGGTATATCTGCCTGTGTGATACAGTGCGGATTAATTCAAGGAGAATGAAACTTGGTGTTTTTGAATCTATAATGGAATAGTTTAATTATTGCAACTCTATTAGCACAGATATTCTCGTGTCTAATGTAATAACATAGACCAAGGTAAATAGGCTTTTCTCATATGAATTGAATCGCCACATTTTAGCTTATCAGGGAATAATTCTTTTACGAGGAATTACTTAACAAATGGGTGGGGCGTGTCTGGCTTGCTCGCTGTATAAAATGTAATCGATTGGATATTTATGCGTGATGTCTTTTAAAAGCTATCGTTTATTCAATATTTATTGTCAGTGTCTACATACTTCATCACCGTATTTAGCGACACTGCCAACTTTGGTAATTACTTGAAGCTTTCAAAAGATTGAAAATCTCTATGGCACTTCGCCAAGGACTGTAGACTTGCATTCGAATTGTAGGTAACCATTTTGAATAATTCGTATAAAAATAATTACTGTATTAAGTATTCAAATTAACTCGGAGAGGAAGTTTGCTGTACCATTAGGAAGTAGGACTTTTGTAAAAAAATTTTGTACAAACAAAATATATAATCGTGGTGTCAATGAAAATAGAAGAGAGTACTGTTATTTTGTATAGCAAAATGATTTATACTAACCACGAGAATCAGATATCCGTCCAGGCAAATTAACATGCTAAACAATAACACTTGTCCCAGCGAATAGAAACTGAATACTTCTTCAAGCTTGTCACAAAATGCAATAAGATCTTGATGCTGTCGAACGTAGGTTTTAAACGTGGCATAATATTTATCCGCAGAATGCGAAAGGCCATCACTCGTATTTCCACCGTCTTCTTCCGCCTTGATCGCACTCTTCATATTATTTAGTCTGTATTGCAGTATACGAAACTGACCTGCTACGTGCAGATTCATCATGCATAAAGTATTATCAAAGCAAAAGTAGCATATGCCGGTTTGATATAAGGCAAATACCTACGCCAATACAACGTCCAGAGTTCAGTTATTTTCATAGTAATAGTACTATGTTATATAATATGATATGAATAATTATAGAATTTTTATAAAAACACGATTAAAGTACAGAAATTTAGGGACTTCCGCTTTCAGTGTGTCTAGATAGATATTTGAAACGATAATGCTAAAAAAAATCTTAGATGCTTTTAATAAATGTGAAATGCTCGAGAAATGTCATACCTGTAAGATAAAAACTATCTCGAAATATGGAGTTATGGATAATGGAAGGTCCAGTCTCACGTTAAACGGATGTATCCTGTCTGATTCGTTTCTTCCAATATTTACTACGCGAATGTATATAATTTAGTTTTTGATATTTTCCATACCCTCGCCGACGAAATCGACTTACGTATAAGTGGGCTGATGACATAACTAGTTAGTGTCGCGTTAGAAAGAGATGTAAAGGTACAGATGTAGAAAGTAGTAGTGCTTTTGCACGCATCCACGAGCGATTTCTCGTAGGAGCTGTAATTCCCATTTAGAAATTTCCGTCGCAAGTACAAAACTAATTCAAGGAAATCGTCTCTATGCACGAGTATGCAAAGTAACTTAAACACAGACATATACGAACTTAATACGTTGCACAGATTATACAGAGTGATCTATAGACAGAAAAATATGGTATCCGTTTAGCAATTATTGCTCTACGCTTATCAATTCTCAGAAGATTCTAAGCCACTAATAATTTTGAATAATAGATGCAGGAGAAATTAGTTATTGTGGACTCAATCACTTTAAATACTTCGTATAATTCTTTTATAATAATTTAAAAATAAATGGTACGGTTTTGTATGTACATAATTTCTCAGTTACACTCTGCTAATTCTAATCGAGATTGTACGGATGCTGTTAAATCAATTTTTTGCATACTTACGCTAAAATCATCTCTACAGTAATAAGTGTCTGTCGTTATAACACAACAATGACAAAACATTGCAAAGATAGAATAAACTATGGTGGCGTTTCTGCATCGCTTCTCGAAGCTATTAGCCGCCATCCAAATGCCGGATAACTTTAAAAAGAAGAACGTTAAGGCGATGGGAAATTCGTTACGATGCCCCATGATCACATTTAATGTCGCGTAACTGTACGTTCGGTTCGGATATCGATTTTCACAGTTTATCCAGGATAACGAATCCAACGGCACAGGGTTTCGACATACCGATATCTATTTGGTCAATGATTGTTCAATTTCTATTCTATCGTTATTTATATATATATATATATACATGTCAATGTATAGGACAGATGTGTTTTCTGTGACTCCGAGGGTAGTACTACGAAACCCTCTGTGAACCTCAATTGCAACTAACAGGTGTGTCGCATTGCAAATGGAAAATATAGGTTGCTAAATATAGAATAGGAATGAAGAAATTTCTCTGTAATTTGGTTCTGCTTGGAATAATACAGTTTATCACGAAGGAACGATTTATACTGATCGAAGTACACAACCGTGTCGAACAGGTCCTGATACAGGTCACGAATTATACTTTACACTCGCTCGTCGACGTTCTCCTTAAGAATAATTAAGATTTCTTACTTGTGTATAGTATAAATTGAAATGATACTTTACTTCATAGAAAAAGATGATAAAGCGATTGAAACGTGTCTATTGTACGCCAAACTTTCGACGAGTTTTAATTAAGTAGATGTTCCGTCTTCGTATTTCAATGCAGGGACTCCGGATTCATTGAAGTCTACCGAAGAAAATCAATTGCAGCTGGTCTTTGATCTAGCGATATCTACTATTCATCGTTCGTACGCTTTATATTTATTCTTAACGCAACCCGCGCACTGTTATTGGCAAGAAAATTATTCTGCCGTACATGTAATTGCAATTCCTCGTCGTAAACGCGAAGTTGATACATAGAATTGATGAGTTATACATGTTTCCTGAACCACTAGTAAGAAATCTTTTATATGACTGAGTAGTTGGACAATCTTCTCCCACGAAAGTACATGGTGCGACAATCTGTTCGAATTTCTTTGTATTTTATTCCGGACATCATGAAGTATAAAAATATGTTTACGCGTAAAATATAAAAATCTAATTGTGAAATGTGTGTTGCACTTCAATTATTATTCGCAAGATTATTAGCGAAGACAAAGAATTTGAAGAAAATCGCTGCAGGTATGTTCTTCATAACAGATTTTTAAATTTTGTTGTATAATGTTAGTTATGTGACTTGTATACGTTTATAAAATGTATGTTTTTAAAAAATGTCCCCGTAAAATAGACTAATTAATTTTTAAAATTAAGTCGTTTTGAATGATTTTAATATTTATTGCTTGTCTTTTCCTTTGTGTGTTCTTTAACTGATGCATGTAACATGTACACATAATTGATATTATTTTATCTAGAAAACAACGTATTCTATGTATCGCATAACAAAGTTGGAAGAAATTTAGGCTGTATCCGTGGTTTTCTGCTGTAATAGTGTGAAGTATGACACTGCTGTACTCATCACCTGCAAAAAATAAGACGAATAAATTAAACACTACTGATGTTCGATAGAGAATTCATAATTAAGCTACTAAGTTGCAAAAAGTTTCAATAATATTAAATATCAATATTACCCAGAATAATATACAGGGTGTTCGGCCACCTCTAGCAAAAATTTTAATGAGCGATAGTAGAGGCCAAAATAAGACGAAAATCAAGAATACTAATTTGTTGATGGAAGCTTCGTTAAAAAGTTATTAACAATTAAATTCAAAAATTTCAAATCGTTCTGGAAAAATTATTTTCGGTTGCGGGGGTCAACTACAATCATTTTTGGTGAGTACACATACCTCCGAAATCCTATCTACTTTCGAGAAAAAAAATCGAGTAGGTGCTGAAATTTTTCGGCGAAAAAAAATTTTTCAAATCGTTTTAAAAAAATTATTTTCGGTTGCGGGGATCAATTACAATCATTTTTTATCATTACACATACCTCCGAAATCGTACGCACTTTCGAGAAAAAAATTCCTTACTGAAAATCCAATTAGGTGCTTAAATTTTTCAACGGAGAAAAAAAATTGCAAATCGTTGTGGAAAAATTATTTTCGGTTGTGGGGGTCAATTACAATCAGTTTTTGTCATTAGACATACCCACGAAATCCTGCCCACTTTCGAGAAAAAAAATAGAGAAGGTGTGAAATTATTCGAGAAAATTAAAAAATTGCAAATCGTTGTGGAAAAATTATTTTCGGTTGTAGGGTTCAATTGCAGTCATTTTTGGTGAATAGACATACCCCCGAAATCTTGCGCATTTTCGAGAAAAAAATTCAGTAAGGGCGGCACTTTAAACGTTAATAACTTTTTAACGAAGCTTCCATCAACAAATTGGTATTCTTGATTTTTGTCTTATTTTGGCCTCTACTATCGTTCATTAAAATTTTTGCTAGAGGTAGCCGAACACCCTGTATACTATTGATATTTATTATTATTATAGACATTATTAATTCAATGTCGTTGTAAACATTGTATGAAGTATTTGAGCTAGTAACAATTTATTTAATAGAAAGCAGGGTATATCAATTACCCCAGTGTATGTTTCCAGAGATACAACACAGAATTTACGAGCTGTCAGGCAGCAAGGTATTTTGGATCGTAACATCATAAGTATCAAGTCTTTTCGTATCGTTTTTCCATTCTTATCCATTGACAAACGGGGCCACGGACTTGCGTACATTGCAGAAGAAACATTCTTACTGTCTTGTATTAAACAATCACAGCTATACGTGAACATTAACAACTGAGCTGTACAGCCTATTATATGAAATATGAAAATAAGACGTCTTGCAATTGGTGCATTCGCCTACACAACATAATACAAGAGTTAAGTACAGCACCTAACATCATGAGGATCGATTAAAAAATGATGACAAATGATAATTGGGCATATTTTAAAATTGGAAATCTTAATTATTTATCATTTAACCCAGAATTATTCACGGATGTTTTTATGGTACTAAATTGTTAAAAAATGTTCGAAAGATTGCATTGTATGCCTGAATTAGTAATACTATTTTTGACATGGATAAATTTTATAGTGAGAAGAAGTAAAGCTTGTCTGTCATAGTAATAAGCGGAAAATGTCATTAAATTCTGAGGTTGCTATTTCAACACTCCAAGCACGTAAAATTTTAATATATACTATGAGTGTCTAACAGTAAAAAGTACTATAATACTGACCATAAGTACTTGATATCCGTCAAGGCAGATTAACGAACTGAAGACCAGTAACTGCCCCAATGAAAACGAACTAAATACTTCTTCAAGCTTATCACAATATGCAATGAGTGCCTGATGCTTTTGAATGCAGTTTATAAACATGGTGTGATATTTATCCGTACCATGTGACGTACTTGTTTCCGAATTTTCACTATGCACATATTTTGCAATATTCATATTTGTTAATCTGTACTGCAATATACGGAACTGACAAGATACGTGCAGATTTATGATGCATAGAAAGTTATCGAAACAAAAGTAGCAGATGCCAACTTGGTATAAGGACAAAGCCTACATCAAAATAAAACCCAATGTTCAGTTATTTTAATTAAAATATAATCTTATCGGTTGGATATGATATAACGTTTTATAAGGAGGATTTTTCTTTTAAAAAATCGGTAAACCTTACGTTTAGGGGAGGCAGCTGCGATGACCTTGACCTTGACATATGTTGTCAAGGTCACCTCCCCTGAATGACTCTCAGAAGGTTTTAACCGTCGCTTATTTTTTATTAAAAAGTTATTAATAAAAATGTATTATTAGTATTACACTAGAATCTGCGTATACGTATACTCAATGTGACCTTGACGTCACACAGTTTATGAAGGTCACACTCTTGAGCATCCCTCAAAAAGTTATAGCTACCTCTCGTTTTTTATTAAAAAGTATATAAAAATTACCGGAAACAAAAACAAGAATATGGAATTTCGTTCCATGAGCCCTGCGGAGCATAAAATAAAACATCCCCCACGAGTTGAACAGTATCATATTAAATTCGGTTTGTTAACTGGGGGGCTGCACCTCCCAGACCCCCCTAAAAACTACACTAACTAATACCGACACCCATTTTTGATAAAATTTAATTTAATATAATCGTTTTATTTAAATAAGTATGTTATATAATATAATAAATATTATATGATCTTTATATGATAATAACTTTTTAATAAAAAACAGGCGACTGCTAAAACCTCTTGGATGTTACTGAGGAGGGTAACCTTGACAACATATGTCAAGGTCAAGGCCATCGGAGTTGCCTCCTCTAAACGTAAGGTTTACTAAACAATCTTATGAAATATATAAGGAATAAAAATACCTGTAAAACAAACGTTATCTCAAAGTAAGGTGTGGTGGACACTAAATCTAACCACATTGTGAATGGAAGTAGTCTGTCTGATTCATTTCTTCCAATGTTAACTGCAACGAGAATACGAATAATTTATTTTTCTCGTTTCTTAGTTATTGTATTATCAATCTATAAATGCATTTATTTATTTATGTGAAATGTCAAGGTCGACCAAGGCTTTTAAAACCAATCAAAACTAATCTAATATTTATTTTCTGTTTTAGGTGAAAGTTGAAATGAGTAATTCAACAACGGATCGAAATCTTGGAGTACAATTCAAAGTATACTGTATCTTTAAAAATGATAAAATGGATACGGATGTTTCTATAAGATCCGCGGACTCGTCGCTTTCAATTTCTCAGGTATCAATTAATCGACTTACCCACAATGGGACTTATGACGTAACTAATTAGTGTCGCGTGCGCAAAACAAGTGAAAACGCAAATAAATAATGCACAGACGCGTTTGCATCCAGCCAAAATCGTCTTCTCGTAGACATCGTAATCCCCGTGCAGAAATTCCCGTTGCAAGTATAGAACTAAATGAAAAAAATCCTTTCTATGCGCAAGTAGGATGAGTATCTTGAATAAAGACATGGCCAGACTTAAAAAGTTGCACATGATGTAAAGGCAGGTCTACGAACATGAAAATGTAAGGCGTGGATTCAGTCAAACTTGTTATTCATATTAGCTGAATTCTGTGTTACTGGTAATTTCTAATAACGGAAGCGTGAGAAAATGTTTATTACAATCGATTGATTTCATTATTTATTTAAGTTTAATAGAATTGAGTATATTTCGTAATTATGTAATAAGGAATGTCACTTGAATCTTTCTTTTTAATCATCCTTTGTGGGCATACAATGGCGGCCAGCTACTTAAGACCGCTGGGTAGTTAAGGAAATAAATAGTGCTAATATTTTATTTATTGTATTTTTCGTATACTAAACTCATATGAAATATATTTTGAAGTATGTTATACTATACAGATTAGGTCGTTATAACAGCGAACAACTACTTAAGACCAAATCAGACTAATACTATAAATACAGGTAAAATTAACGAATCTTATTAATTGCGGCAAAATAAAACTTAGCAAATAGTTAGTAACGCGTTGCACTCCCTTTTTGTCGTATCACTTCTTCACAACGTCTTGGCATAGACTCAATTAAACGGCGACTTCGCTCGACTGGAATATTATTCCACCCTTCTTAATAACAGCGTACAATTCATTTAAATGCTTGGGCTTTTTATATTTTACATGTTTCTCCACATCAATCCATAGCATCTCAATAGGATTGAGGTCTGGAGATTGAGAGGGTCATGGTAAAATGTTTACATTTTGCTGACATAAAAATTGTTTAACCCTACGGGCTGTGTGTTTTGGGTCATTGTCAGCTTGCAAAATCCAGTTATCTGGCATTTGATTTCTTGTAAATGGGAGCAATACCTCATTTAATATATCAATGTATTTGTATTGATCCATTATTCCTTCAATTCTATGAATTGGGCCAACACCTTGTAACGTAAACGCTCCCCAAACGTTCACTGAACCTCCTCCACCTTTCACGGTTGATTTTATGCATTTTGGTGAAAATTCCTCGTTGACACGACGTCGAACATAGAATTTGCCATCTGACCCCATTGTATTAAACTTGGACTCATCGGTAAAAACAACTTTTGACCAGTCTGCTATTGTCCAGTTGCGATGATTCTTAGCGAACTGTAAACGAAGCTTTCAATTTCGTTTGGAAATGTGTGACTTCTTGCGAGCGATGCGACCCATAAGATTAAATTCGTTTAATCTTCTTCGTACTGTTCGAACTCCAATTTTCCTGATAATTTCGACACCAGATTCATTGAGAACTTGTTCGGCTGTTTTGTAACGATCCGCTTCAGAGATGTGGTGAAGAATGCGATCTTCTCGTGCTGTTGTATTACGAGGCCTTCTTTTACGCGACAAGTTACAAACTGATCCTGTCTTAGATATGAATTGCATTGCCTGTATACACGCCGTTTTGGAAATATTTAATTTTATAGCAATTGCTGAAAATGAGAATCCCTCATCTCTCAATAATTTAATTTGAATTCTTAGTTCAGGAGCAATGTTCTTCTCTCGACTCATGATTGTTGACTGATTAGCAATTATTTGCGATCTTGAATGCAGTGATCCATCGCAACCATGTCAACAGTGATGGTAACTAAGGACCTGATGCAACTATGTAATGTGAAAATAAGCAAAAAATGAAAAACATGAATCGGTCTTAAGTAGTTTTCCGCTGTTATAACGACCTAATCTGAGAAAATATTAAAAATATTTGCAGTTTATTGTGTTGTAAATAAAATTATTGTGATATTATGGTATAACATACTTCAAAATATATTTCATATGAGTTTAGTATACGAAAAATAAAATGAATAAAATATTAGCACTGTTTATTTCCTTAACTAACCAGCGGTCTTAAGTGGCTGGCCGCCACTGTACGTGTATCAATATATGCATACTTACAGTGAAATCTTCTCTCGAGTAATACAAATCTGTGATTAGTACAACACCAATAAAACTCATCCCGATGATGGTGTAAATCAAGGTGATAATTCTACATCGTCGTTCATTGTTATTAGTTGCCATCCAAAAGCCACAGAATTTCATGAAGAGAGACGTTATTGCGATAGAAATGTCGTCATTGTGTTCCAAAATCATATTAAATTTCGACTAATTAAAAAGTTCGTTTCGGATATTGAATGTGCACCGGAAGTTTCGTATCGATTTTCACAACGCGTCGAGGATAATCAATCAAACGCCATGTGGTTTTGATCTACTGACATCCTTTTGGTTGCAAATCGTGCACTTTGTATTCATTTTTATTGCTTTTATGATATAATTGTCAATATAACTGTAGTTCTCCATTCTAGGGGCAACGTGTAGGATTCATGAGTTATGCATGATTCTGGGTAAAGTACTGTCCTTTGCGAACCTCAATTGGGATTAACAGACGTGACGCGTTGCAAATGGGAACTTTATGCCATTGAATATAGAATTTGTCTTGACTTTAAACAATGTATGAAATTTTGTATCTTTGTATCTTAAAGAAAAATAATTTGTTGTTTCAAAAGTGGAGTATAGAATAATTAAATATTTGATTATTTTGTAGGCATCCCAAAACTGCTATTTTAGTGTTCAAATAATAAATAATCATAAATAATCAAATATTATTATAAAATTACAAATATTGTTAATTACCTGTGTCAAGTTTTGCAGGCAGTAAATATTACTTACACGTTGCTATGCTTTTTATCCACTCACATTATATGTATAAATGCTTGTTTAGGTCTCAGTCATCCTTGGTAGTGAAAATGCAATTAAGAATATTACGTAAATGAAAAAAAAGTAAGTAATCACTTGCATACTAAAATCTGATGCACTTCGTAAAAAAAGATGATATCGCTATTCCAGCGTCTTTGTTGTACACCGATCTCATATTGGATTTCAAACAAGTACATGCACCATTTTGGAATTTCTACGTAAAGTTTCCGGATTGATCATCAAAGTATGTTGAAAGAAATCGATTCAATCTTGTCTTTGATCTGGTGGTCTTCTTTATTCATCGTTTCTAGTCTTTCCATTTCTTCAATGTGATATTCGTGTACTCTAACTTCATAGTAAAGTTTTCCAATGTATGTGCATGCAACTGCAATTACTACTATTCAACGTAGGAGTAATGTACGAAATCGATGATTTATGCATGGTTCAAGGTACATTGCTGTGAAGCTGCCTTGTAAGAATGAACTCTGGTTAACTATTGGACATCGTTTTGTGAGAAAAGAAACTTAACTTTACAAAAGAACTGTCGTTTCTTTTGCTGAAAGAAGGAAAAAATCGAATCTCGAAAGTAAAGATTTTGTTATAACATCGTGGTAGTCTGGTAGTTCATATCTGACTGTCGATAAAAGAACGTAAAGTGACAGATGGACAAGCCATTACTGTGGACTTAACATTTACGAATATATTTCATTATGTGAGTGCTAAAGTTCGGTCTATTTCGATTACTTTCAACGTCGGTGTAGTAAAAATCAAAGTTTTAAACATCAGTGAATATCATTAGATGAACTTTTTTTAAATATAATTTCAATAATAGCAGTAAACAAAGTGAAATCAGTGAAAAGATTTTTGAGTAAGAATTTCAGGAATCCTGTGTCAAATGTTATGATATACTATATAATAAAAATAAAAATAATTGTAAAATAATAGAAGTGGAAATAATCACGATTTTAAATACTGTTCATAACATTTTATTTTTAAACTCTAAAAACTTAACGAAGTGAAAGAATATATTCTGAGAATGTCAGTTTACTCAAGCCATCAGGTTGCTGATATTTCAATAAATGTAATGAAATTGTTGATTTTGATTTTGTCAATACTTTCTCAAATGTATTTTTATCGTTTCGTCATGGTTTTATCCTTCCGTTTCATGTTTTCATTCTGTGTAAAAAAAATCGAGAAATTTTATGACTAAAATATCAACAATAAATAGCTAGGTGCTTCAGAATTGAAATTAATATTTTGCAATTTTCCATTTTTTCATTTGACTCTCTAAAGATTATACTTATGAAATACCGATAAATAGTAAGGATAAATTAAATTGCAAATTTAACTTTACGTTTTTACTCGATACTATGTTTACCGTGTTTCAAGTACTCGATTATTATTATAAAAGAATCATTAAAAAGTAAATCTGTGAATTTCATTCCGATACCAAAGAAATGTAATAGAGCAAAATTTGTTATCCCGCATTAACAAATAACAAATTCTATAAATAATATATAACTAATTCGATATATTTACCTTGTCATCCTTGCGCTACACCTCAAGATGATTTAAAGTTGTCGTAGAAACTGTGATGGGTTATGTATGTATCACACTACAAGTAAACTTATAATATGGCATCACACGTCAGATTCAAAGTACGATTCCAGTTTTAAGTAACAATTTCTATACACTCCAATATAATGATTTGGTACGTTGAATATCTCAAATAAAAAGTGTTTTACTTTGATCTGGATTTTTGTTCATACATACGCAAAGTTTTGTTTTAATATTCTCTTAGTAGTGTGAAGTACGATACAGCGGTACTTAAAACCTGTAACAGGCAAAATAAATAGAGATTTACGAATGTTATGGGTCATATTAATACGATTTCTTATTCGTTCGGTTTGCGCGTTCAAAATGGACACTTAGATGATGGTTCATCGCGCTAGAAAATTAAATTTTCCTTCATCGTAAGCGCATCAGTTTTCTGATTAAAGATAATACTAAAAAATTAGTATTTCTATAGGAAGCATGGTCTTCCAATTGAAAATATAGAACTGTTTTAGTTGACAGATGTAAAACTGTTAATTACCGTAGTATACGTTTCGAGGGACACAACAAAGAATCCACTAGCATTTAGGCAACAAGGAACTCTAGATCTCATCATGACAAGTATTAAGTCCTTTCGTAGCGCACTTCCATCTTTGTTCATAGGCAACTGTGTCCACGGTGCTGCGTAGACAGCTGCAGCTATTTGTGAACTTTCCTGTATCAAACAGTCACAGCTGTAGGTGAACATCAACAGCTGGCACATGCAGCCCGTTATGTGAAATGTGAAAATTAGACGCCTTCCTAGACTAGCATCAGCCTGTAGGATAAGAATTGCCATAATAAATAATTGTATTAAACGTTTAGTGGACAAACACGTTCCATGATCTGTAAATGTAAATGAATACAGCTGTAGTACGCTTATATTTCCAACACTTACTAACCAAAAGAACGAGATATCCATCAAGGCATATTAACAAACTAAAGATTATCACTTGTCCCAGCACGACTGCAGTGAATACTTCTTGGACTTTATTGCAGTATTCTATAAGCTCCTGATGTTGTTTAACGTATATTTTAAATGCTTCGAGACATTTGTCTGCCTGATGGAAAGAATTCTCAAACGAAGCTTCTTTCAAGTTCGTTTCGTCTTTCATTAAGTTTAGGTTTTTCATCCTGTATTGTAATATACGAAACTGACTAGCTATGTGTAGATTCAAGACACACAGGAAGTTATCCAGGCAGAGATAACCTACCCCGATATGGTATAGAGTCACAATCTGCACAAATGTAAGAAGTATACATACAAATGATTATCAGAATTTTATTCTATTAGTAGCACAATTGCATGCAATTGCCACTTTTGAGCGTAAAATTTTGCCACAAAATATTTTTTAATATTATATTCTTTTTACGGGTGAGAAAAATAAAAAAAACCTTACGCACAACTTCATTTTCCATGATTTCTGTCTTAATTGGATTCAAAGAATCAATCTTTAAAATTACTACCTGAAAATCCTGTACATGTGCAACATATCTAATTTTGTTACTTATATAGAATAACGCAAGTATGGACGTAGAAGAACATACTTCTTGTTTAGAATCGCAGTAGGAGAAAGATAATTTACAATACCTGGAATACGAACGTCATCTCAAAAAACGGTGTCGTGGTGAATGGCAAATCAAGATATATTGTAAAAGGAAGTATCCTGTCAGAGTCGTTTTTTCCAATATTTGCTACAAAATAATATAAAATTTACATTTTATACTATTCGAAATGTGCGTTTATATTAATTAATATTTTACAAAGCTGAAGTGATTCCTTAACATTGTAAAAATTATAAGGATGGAGTACAGTAATAGTTATTTCAGATCTGTTATGTAATACGTTTTTGTTTTATGCTGATGCCAGAGAACATTCTTACCAATAATGGGCCCTACTGCATAACTAATAGCTGTGCCTTGCGCAAAGAAAGAGAAGATACAAATGAGAGAAGTACAGATATGCTTGCAATTGTCCACAATCGTTTTCTCGTAGGGGTCGTAATTCGAATGCCAAAAATTCTTCTTCGAGTACAAAATCAACTCGAGAAATTTCTGTTTGTGGGTGAATAAGATAAATATCTTGAACATTACCGTAAGTAGAGTCACGAGGTTGTTCATGGTGTAAATGCGTTCCTATTATCAGAAATCCCAACATACGTATTTTAGGTAGATATTTAAATATTACAAGCATACGATTATACAGGGTGTACAGGTACCCTTGGGAAAAATTTTAATGGGAGATTCTAGAGGCCATAGTAAGATGAAAATCAATTTGTTAAAAAGTTATTAAAAAATTAAATTAAAAAATTTCAAATCATTCACGGTAAAATTATTCTTGGTTGTGGAGGTCCATTACAATCATTTTTGGTGAATAGACATACCCTCGTGATCCTACGCATTTTCGAAACAAAAATTCAGGAAGGTGGGCAAATTCGACAAAATCAAAAATTTTGAAATCGTTCTGGGAAGATTATATTCGGTTGAGGGGGCCAATTACAATCATTTTTGGTAAATACACACACTCTCAGAATCTTACGTACTTTCGAGAAAAAAATTCATTACCGAAAATATACTCTGTGGCCGGAAATGTTTCTATAACATTATAACGAAGCCCCAAGGAACAAACTGGTCTCCTTGATTTTCGTCTTATTTGATCTCCAGAATCTCCCATTAAAATTTTCCCAGGGCTGGCCGAACACCATGTATATTATTAAAGAACGAAGCCTACGGAGCAAACGCAATCGATTTATATCATAACTTGATACTGATTTAATTGTACAGTAAACCATACACATAAAGATAGTACGTAAAATACTTGAAATAAGTATCGTTTAATAAATACATGAAACAGTATATTTGAATATTGTAGAATTAGGGAGAATGTCCTTGCATGATACTCAAATTTAGTGATGAGCAATTTTGGAAAAAATTACTTTACTATCTGTCAAGATTTTGTTTTCCACGAACTAGCGACTAATAACATTAATGTTACAAAAGCTAAAATTATAAGAAAGAAAGAAATTTTGCGTCACATTCAATATGTAAACACATAACTTAAATTCCTGTAGTTTCACTTGCGAGTTTTCACAATTCGCACACTCACACTGAAGTCTCCCAATTCATAGTAAATCTGCGTCGATTCAACCCAGACGGAGAAAATTAGAACCCAGATTGTGTAAATAAAGGCGAAATTTCTCCGATGTTTCTCGTCGTTATCTTTTGCTGGCCAAATCCCGACCACTTTCATATAAAACGACGTTGCAATGAGCGAAAGGTCTTTACTCTGTTTCGAAGACATCGCGAATTTCGAGTACCGGCGCATTGATGATTTTGAACTTGCACAAGGATCTTGAGATCGATCGTTATGGGCATATAAGATTACTAATTTCACGTTACATGACTTTGATCTGTCGACAACCTACTTTACTCAAGGTTTTCATGCCAGGTGCCTATTCGTTCTATGCACCTCTCTTTGCACTAGATAGACTCGATAATCAACGGTGGTTGACAGGCGTAATTGCTACTCTTGTGTGTAAAATGGAAAAGAAGCATAGAATTCATTCAGTATTCATGAGTCAGGAGGAGTGATTCTTCAAATGTACAAAGAGAAGCTTGCGAGTTTTACTGGTCAAAAGTGACGGTTACGTACGGTATACGGTGACAAAACAGTACTATTATTAATAGTCCACGAATATGTGTTAGTTTTTGAAGAATAGTATTATCACGAACATTTCTTTAACGTGTAAGGTTAACTTTATATTCCATTTACTATCTGACTCAGTAACAAGTAGATCGAGTTTTGCTAACCGACATCTTGAAGACCTAACTGAAATACTTAACTCCTTATTCATGAAAATGTTTGAAAATTCATGGCGTAAGTGTAAAATCAGAGATACAGTTTCGTATTGTATTTGTACTTGAAGTTCAATAGGATTGCATGTCATTTAATGTAGCTTGTTAATTTAACTTATTAATTATCCATGTCAGTGTGTTCTTTCAGTTCGCAACTCGTGACAACACAAATTGTGTATCTCTTTCCTGCAGACTAGGATTGGAAAATATTGGAACTTCTGCTGTGAGTAGGTAGATTCGCTGTTTATGAAACGATGTCCAAAGCATGGCATTCTTAATTCTTCAGAAACGGACATTTCGAAACAGTTAAGAAGGCCTACGAAAATAAGATGCATCTGAAAATTATTTATCCGAGGTGTGAGTTTTATTTTAACCTAACGAGTGTTTACATATATACAGCGAAAACTACAAGTTGTCGTATCTTTCTTTCTATGCTACCGAGAGTGAAATTAATCGATTTGCGAGTTTCTTTCAATGAAAATGAGTTAAAACAGTACCTTATTCGGACAATTTTTAATTGTTTTCACTGGTCACCGATAGAGGTTTTCTAATTCCTACTATTTTCTCGCAAGTGCTTGATTCCAGTCTGGTTCATCTTCCCGTCGCACGTTTAGGGTGCAGCTTATCGTTTATATTTAACGAATCTCACAACAGTGTTATTCCTTCTACTTTGTACAAATCTAATATACAGAATTTTGTTACGTACTTCTGCGTGAGTTGGTGTTTGAAAACGTGGATGGTGCAATTTATTACTTATTTTAGCTATTTTTAACTAATACAAAATAAGAAAGTCCAAATAAGTCATCGTTATTAAATGTTACATAGTACTAGGGATTATTCTGCTACTTTAAATATAACAAAGTGTACTAGAACAACACTTTTTATCCCATATTAACAAACTGCATAGTTACTAAAACTAACATATTAATAATATGATATGTTTACCTTGTTATCCATATGTTGTAGGTCAAGGTATATTTACATTTCGTACCAAAGATAAACCTACAACATGGTCTCACATATGTATTATTCTCTATTCAAAGTACGATCTCAGTATCAGACAATAATCGTTATACATCCAACTGTAATTTTTTAATACGTTCCGTATTTCAAGTAAAAAGTGTACGATAAAACATTATTAATTATTCCACATATGCACCTCGCTATTTTAGTATTGCCTTAAAAGTGTGAAGTATGACGCTGCGGTACTTAAAACCTGTAACGCATGATACAAATTGATCGTCTTATTATTGATTAGAAATTTTTAGCTAAAACAAGTTTTTAATGGGCGAAGTGTATGAATATAAGATATTCTTTTCAATTCGCGTGCACAAAAATTGTAGGAAAGTTTTCACAATTATATTCCGCAATAACATTACTCGACAATTTATACGATTAACGGGTATTATGAGTTATATTAATACGATTCTTTGATTGCGCGTTCAAAATGGGCACTTAGATAATGGTTCATCGAGTTAGTAGACTAAATTTTCAGTCATCGTAGGCGCCTCAGTGTACTGATGAAGTTACTTGTAATGTTGACTAAAAATTGGTATTTCTATAGGAAGCATGGTCTTCCAATTGAAAATATAGAACTGTTTTAGTTGACAGATGTAAAACTGTTAATTACCGTAGTATACGTTTCGAGGGACACAACAAAGAATCCACTAGCATTTAGGCAACAAGGAACTCTAGATCTCATCATGACAAGTATTAAGTCCTTTCGTAGCGCACTTCCATCTTTGTTCATAGGCAACTGTGTCCACGGTGCTGCGTAGACAGCTGCAGCTATTTGTGAACTTTCCTGTATCAAACAGTCACAGCTGTAGGTGAACATCAACAGCTGGCACATGCAGCCCGTTATGTGAAATGTGAAAATTAGACGCCTTCCTAGACTAGCATCAGCCTGTAGGATAAGAATTGCCATAATAAATAATTGTATTAAACGTTTAGTGGACAAACACGTTCCATGATCTGTAAATGTAAATGAATACAGCTGTAGTACGCTTATATTTCCAACACTTACTAACCAAAAGAACGAGATATCCATCAAGGCATATTAACAAACTAAAGATTATCACTTGTCCCAGCACGACTGCAGTGAATACTTCTTGGACTTTATTGCAGTATTCTATAAGCTCCTGATGTTGTTTAACGTACACTTTAAACACTTCGAGATATTTGTCTGCCTGATACGAAGGATTCTCAAACGGAGCTTCTGTCAGCTTCGTTTCCCCTTTCATTGTATTTAGGTTTTCCATCCTGTATTGTAATATACGAAACTGACTAGCTATGTGTAGATTCAAGACACACAGGAAGTTATCCAGGCAAAGATAACCTACCCCGATATGGTATACAGTCGCAACCTGCACAAATGTAAAAATTATACATACAAATGATTATCAGAATTTTATTCTGTTAGTAGCACAATTGCATGCAATTCCCACCTTTGAGCGTAAAATTTTGCCTCAAAATATTTTTTAATATTATATTTTCTTTACGGGTGAGAAAAATAAAAAAAACCTTACGCACAACTTCATTTTCCATGATTTCTGTCTTAATTGGATTCGAAGAATCAATCTTTAAAATTACTACCTGAAAATCCTGTATATGTGCAACATTTCTAATCTTGTTACTTATATAGAATAATGCAAGTATGGACGTAGAAGCATATATATTTTGTTCTGAAACGCAGTGGGAGAAAGATAATTTACAATACCTGGAGTGCGAACGTCATCTCGAAATACGGTGTTGTGGACAATGGCAAGTCAAGATATATTGTAAAAGGAAGTATCCTGTCAGAGTCATTTTTTCCAATATTTGCTAAAAAATTATATAAAATTTACATTTTATACTATTCGAAATGTGCGTAATTAATATTTTACAAAGCTGAAGTGATTGATTAACTTTGTAAAAATTATAAGGATGGAGAACAGTAATATTTGCTATTTCAGATCAGTTATGTAATACGTTTTTGTTTTGTGCTGATGCCAGAGAACATTCTTACCAATAATGGGCCCAACTGCATAACTAATAGCTGTGCCTTGCGCAAAGAAAGAGAAGATACAAATGAGATAAGTACAGATATGCTTGCAATTGTCCACAATTGTTTTCTCATAGGGATCGTAATTCGAATGCCAAAAATTCTTCTTCGAGTACAAAATCAACTCGAGAAATTTCTGTTTGTGCGTGAATAAGATAAATATCTTGAACAATACCGTAAGTAGAGTCACGAGGTTGTTCATGGCGTAAATGCGTTCCTATTATCAGAAATCCCAACATACGTATTTTAGGCAGATATTTAAATATTACAAGCATACGGTTATATACTATTAAGTAACGAAGCCTAAGGAGCAAAAACAATCGATTTATATCGTAACTTGATACTGATTTAATTGTACAGCAACCCGTACACATAAAGATAGTTCGTAGAATACTTGAAATAAGTATCGTTTAATAAATACATGAAACAGTATATTTGAATATTGAAGAATTAGGGAGAATGTCCTTGCATGATACTCAAATTTCGTGATCAGCAATTTTGGAAAAAAATTATTTCGCGAACTAACAATTAATAACATTAATGTTACAAAAGCTGAAATTATAAGAAAGAAAGAAGTTTTTCGTCGCATTTAAGATGTAAAAACATAACTTAAATTCCTGTAGTTTCACTTGCGAGTCTTCAGAATTCGCACACTTACACTGAATTCTCCCGAAGCATAGTAAAACTGCGACCCTATGATCCAGATGGAGAAAGATACAACCCAGATTGTGTAAATAAAGGCGATGTTCCTCCGACGTTTCTCGGCGTTATCTTTTGCTGACCAAATCCCGATCACTTTCATATAAAACGACGTTGCAATGAGCGAAAGGTCTTTACTCTGTTTCGAAGACATCGCGAATTTCGAGTACCGGTGCTTCGATGATTTTGAACTTGTACAAGGATCTTGAGATCGATCGTTATAGGTATAAAAAATTACTAATTTCACGTTACATGATTTTGATCTCTCGACTACCTTACTTTGCCCAAGATTTACGTGCCAGGCGCCTATTCGTCCTATGCACCTCACTTTGCATTGGATGGACTCGGATAATCAACGGTGGTTGACAGGCGTAATTGCTACTCTTGTGTGTAAAATGGAAAAGAAGCATAGAATCCATTCAGTATTCATGAGTCAGGAGGAGTGATTCTTCAAATGTACAAAGAGAAGCTTGCGTGTTTTATTGGTCGAAAGTGATGGTTACGTACGGTCTACGATGACATGACAGTACTATTATTAATAGTTCACTAATATGTGTTAGTTTTTGCGGAATAGTATTGTCACGAACATTTCTTTAACGTGTAAGGTTAACTTTATATTCCATTTACTATCTGACTCAGTAACAAGTAGGTCGAGTTTTGCTAACCGACATCTTGAGGACCTAACTGAAATACTTAACTCCTTATTCATGAAATTTATGTTTGAAAATTCATGGCGTAAGTGTAAAATCAGAGATACAGTTTCGTATTGTATTTGTACTTGAAGTTCAATAGGATTGCATGTCATTTAATGTAGCTTGTTAATTTAACTTATTAATTATCCATGTCAGTGTGTTCTTTCAGTTCGCAACTCGTGACAACACAAATTGTGTATCTCTTTCCTGCAGACTAGGATTGGAAAATATTGGAACTTCTGCTGTGAGTAGGTAGATTCGCTGTTTATGAAACGATGTCCAAAGCATGGCATTCTTAATTCTTCAGAAACGGACATTTCGAAACAGTTAAGAAGGCCTACGAAAATAAGATGCATCTGAAAATTATTTATCCGAGGTGTGAGTTTTATTTTAACCTAACGAGTGTTTACATATATACAGCGAAAACTACAAGTTGTCGTATCTTTCTTTCTATGCTACCGAGAGTGAAATTAATCGATTTGCGAGTTTCTTTCAATGAAAATGAGTTAAAACAGTACCTTATTCGGACAATTTTTAATTGTTTTCACTGGTCACCGATAGAGGTTTTCTAATTCCTACTATTTTCTCGCAAGTGCTCGATTCCAGTCTGGTTCATCTTCTCGTTCCACGTTTAGGGTACAGTTTATCATTTATATGAAACGAATCCCACAAAAAGGTTATTTCTTCTACTTTATACAAAGCTAATATACAGGATTTTATTACCTATTTATGCATGAGTTGGTGTTTGAAAACATGGGTGGTGTAGTTTATTATTTATTTTAGTTATTTTTAATTAATTCAAAATAAGACGGTCCAAATAGGTTATCGTAATTAAATGTTACATAGTACTAGGGATTATTTTGCTACTTCAAACCGGTGTAGAGATTTGCATTTGAAAGTAAATATTGTGCAACTAAATTTACTTAACTTGTATTTTGCGTGTAAGAAAATTCCTTTATTTCAAAGTGTATACATTTGAAATCAGGCAAATTAATGAGCTCCATGCTAATCAAGATTCAATAGTTTCAACGCTTTGACTCAGTAACATGAAGTACGACACCGCAGTACTCATAACCTGTATCAAACAAATGATTCCATTGTTATATTAATCTAAAGTTTCGAGAAAATTTGATGTGACAATGTCAAGGCATTGAAGATGGAATTAAATTTTGCAGCAACATAAATAGAGTGAACGTGGAAAACAATATTCGGAACAGTGCAATAATCGGAAATGAATACACTATATGTATTTGTTTTCAGCTGTACCGTAGAATAAGTTTCCAGAGATATCGGGAAAAATCCATTCGCCGTTAAGCAACAAACTTTTTGCGATCGTATAATGATCATCATCAGGCAGTGCCGCAACGATTTCCCCTTTCCTTGCATTGGCGTATGTGCCCAAAGTGCCGAATATGCTGCTGTACCGATGTTGTCACTTTGTTCCATCAAAATGTGACAACTATATGTGAACATAAACAGCAAGACCATGCTACCAATTATGAGGAATACGAAAATGCTACGTTTCGCTAGGCTTGAATTCATCTACGTACATAAACAGTAAATATTTTAACAACAATGTGGGCTTTTGTATATAAAACTTGATATATTTTTTTCATAGACACTTTTTGATGTAAAACTTCGAATTTCACTGAAGCTTAGGTACGTTGTTTAAAATTGAATGGATTAAATTCTGTCGTCTAATTTATTTACATATTTCACGAAAGGTGAAAAAGACTAGCCTGTCAGTTTAATGTCAACTGATTCTGCTAATTATTTAAAACTTTTCAACGTATTTATAAATAAATTCCAGCGATATCCGAATTAATACTTTTAGAAGTACCATCTTTCAGATAATCATATTCTTCGTGCGTTATGTAGTGTAATAGGTTATTATAAATGAGTACAGATAGTTGCAATTCAATTCAAAAGATGCCTTATTGCTTTCATTTGGACGATTACGAACCATAAGTACTTGATATCCGAAGAGGCATATTAGCACACTGAAGATTAACACTTGAGCAAGTATGGTTACCGTAAACACATTCTCAATCTTGAGACAATAATCGATGAGCATCTGGTGTTGTTGAATGCAAGCCTTCATTTTTTCATAAGATTTATTCATATAATTCGTTAGAGACGTATTCCCATTTTGAGCCATCATATCGTCATCTGTTCGATATAGGTTTGTTAACCTATATTGAAGTATACGAAACTGTCCAGACGCGTGTACGTTTATGATGCACAGCATGTTATCGAAACAGAAGAAGCAGATAGAAACAGGATACGTTATAATTATCTGGAAAAATAGAAATTAACGTTACACCTTGCATTTATTTTAACCATACGTAGATATAGTTTCATCTAATTTTTAGCTACCGAAATCATCTTTGAGAAATTTATATTGCAAGTTTGGAATTTGGCAATTCAGGCTAAAGTATAAAAAGTGGTAGTACCTGCGAGACAAACGCTATTTCATAGTAGGGAGATATCGTTAAGGGTAAATCAAGCCAAAGATTGAATGGTAGTGCCCGCTCGGATTTATTTTGTCCTATATTGTCTGAAGCACAAACGCATTAAATTAGCTATTTACTTGCTTGCGTATGGACAATACAGTTCATACTTTCAACAGTAGATTGGACGTACGTGGAACGACAAAGCGACGATCATGCAAATGTAGGGCTTTCCAATAGAATCGATAGATCTTTCAATTGTCATAGTCGTCATATTTATTATTCAGTTGCTTCAGTCACATTTTTCGATGAAGGACTTTATCAATAATCAAAATTGTCGAATTTAAGGACTAATTGACTAATTCTCAGTCAATAGTCGAGTGACCCATGTACCTACACAAAGTTATTGTGTGTGGTATTGTTTTGGCTGATGAAAACATCGAGCCTCATTTTTTCTCAAAACGAAGATTCGACTGTTACCGTTAATTGTAAGCATTACCGTTCGACGATATCGTCTTTTTCATTTGTTTGGGATGGTCACTTAAATGATATGTATTTCATGCATAATGTCATCGAATGTACGACAAAATAACGCAATGGGTAACAGATTATCTATTCCAATTTTCATTTTATTTCAATTCAGAGTTCTATTGTTTTTATTGGAAGACCCGTTATTAACTGGGTGAATAAGGAACATTATTTTGTATATACAAAACAAATAGTTGCGCGGTAAAACGGTCCTTAAAGATATTTAACATTTTGGGTACAATTGCTAAACAAGTTTACTAACATTGCGGTTTAGTTTACAAACGTTATACCTATCTGCTGTCATATTTTTTACGTCATTAACTGTGCGCAGTAACCTTCTTTATTTTAACTCACCAATGAGCGGTGTTACTAGGTAACCCACAATAGCGCCGTGGCCAGTTAAAGTAACGACACTGGTAAACATAATACAAGTCTTCCGGACAGTGATTAAGATATCTTTCTCGTGGTAATCGTAAGAACTTTTCCAAAAATGTTCTCTCATGAACACAATCAAGTTAATAAATTCCATTTTGTATCTCATTATGCCACACAATTTAATCCAAACCATTACAATAGTTATGATGTTGCACCAAGCAAAAAGAAAAGCCTGAATGGAGCAGGTAAACAATTTCTGAACAAAATACGAACACAAAATTCTACATGGTAAATTGCATAAAACTATAGAAGCGATTTTCTTTGGAAACTACTATGGACAACAAGAAAATTTTGACATTCGACTAATTGAGACATATTAGTACTGCAATTTGAAAACATGTTCTATCGCCACAATAATGTTCACATAGTAATAAAAGCGTTCGTTTAATCTTCGGTCTGCTGTCCGACGGCTACGTCAATTACAGACATAACTTTCAAAATTATCAGAAACTCTTCACTGAATATACTGACCTCTAAAAATGTCGATATTTTGATTGCTGCCAATCCACATGGAATATGGGTCTCAATAAATTATCCAATGACAAATCCTCGTAAATTGGTTTTATAATTTCTAGGACATTATACACTGTATACTGCTAAGAGGCGGGTCGTCTATAAACGTATCTAGCGCATTTTATTTATTTACCGAAGGGCAGTATGTATGCTGGAGATCCTCATCGATGCAACTTTTGCGACAGAATGTAGCCCATATAGTCGCCCTTATTTTTGGAGACAAATTATAATGCCCGATTATTTTATCAGTTAAGTTTTCCGCCCCTTTTTCACCGATACCCATTTTTGCTTCCTTCGCGTTTCACAATCGTGTACCCATCTTCCATAAGATCAACACTCATTTTTTTAGACCGTAATGCCGTAATTTATGAGTTTTGTTTTCCCTACGGCTACATTCTTTAGTCTTCCCCTTAATTCGCACAATACAGTACAACTTCTTTGAACATCACTACTCAGCAAATATAGAAAATAGAAAAGATGCCAAGAAGGCTTGTTTCAAGTTTCATGTAGCATATCACTCAAGAAATAGTACTTCGACCACATGGTGATTCGTAATACACAAACCACATAAAAGAACTGAGGAAAATCTTGAGCAATAAGGAGGGCAACAAAATACTAAACAAGAATATTTTCATCCTTAATGGTTCCCAAGAAAATATATACCGTGTCAAACATCACACAACCTACACTGTTTACTGGTTCCACTCACGCTAAAATCATGCCGGGTGTAATACACGTCTCTCGACCCGATAAAAATACCAGCGAGTGTTGTCCCGACTGCAAGCCGCCATCCGAACTTCCTTCGACGTTCTCCTTTGTCATTTTCCACAATCCACGCACCGACGAACTTCAGAAAGAAAGCCGATAATTTGATCGAAAAATCTGTATACCCTTCTTCTACCATGACGAACGCCCACTGTCGAAGGGTAAAACTGACTTCTTAAATGTCTTTTACAAGATTTCCAGCTTGTATTTCAACGCATGGAGATTGATTTCACTATGACAGCACTATGATCTATATCCGTGCCTTTTATCTGACATTGAGGAAGTTCTACTCTCCTTTTAATACATATACGTTTTTACGATTGACAGGGAGTACAAAAAACAGGGACGATTACTGGAATAACGAATGAAATGATAAATCGATGCGTCATGTATTATTACTGGACACTGTCGAGCGTCGCCCCACTTAGGCTGGAAACAGACGAGCAACTTTTGTCGTTGCGATTTCACAGCGATTCTATGTTTTTCTTTTCTTGCAATTGAAAACAGCCAAGACAGACGTAAAAACGTCGATATTTTCTGTCTTCCTTGTTTTAATTGCAAAACAAGGAAACACATAGAGTCGCTGTGATGTCGTAACGGGAAAAGTCGCTCGTCTGTTTCCAGCCTTAGTGACATCTTCGATGCCTATTGTGTCGCGTGTTCTCCTCGTTTAATTGATTTGGCATTTCGTGATCCTCAACACACCGACTTAACCGTGTGCGGGTATTTTAATTGATGTATGCACAAAATTAAATTCTATCGATGGTCCGTCACATAACAGATTCGACGAGTCATTGCCAAAGCGATAAATTGCTAAGTCTCCAATAGTGGCAATTCACGTCGTTCCATAAACCATGCTTTTAACGCTTTAACAATACCCAAAAAGGCAAACAAAACATACCTATGTTCTGTGTTGTATTTAAATAGTACATTTAGTGAAGATTGTGATAATTAAATGATTCCTAGACATATCGCCGACCTTCGTTCCTTTAACGACAGTTATCAAATAAGTGAAATCAGAGTACAATTCATTTACCTTGTTTCGTAAGATGTTCTGTTCCCGGCGACGATTGACAAATGTTTGACTACGAAGGAGCAAAATTAACGTTTGTCTACAATTAAAACGAATAGCAAATGAAATAATTGCAATTCGTATTCGTGTTCAAAATAATTATCTACGGTGATGTGCTCTTTGTTCCATTTTGTACATATATGATACATAGGATTTAAAAGTTTCTCGTTCGTGGCTTTGTTCTTGAAAACATTAATTTAAACTTTTAGTAGTAGGCGTGCAACCAACTTAGCTAAGCATTACACTTTACTCCAACGTATGATAGTTTCACTACTTGCAACTAATTGCAAGTCAGGAATACAGACAGAGACGGACAGGTCGTGACGAATAAACATATAAATAAATGTTGGTTGCTCTGTTTCTTGAATTCGGTGCAAAGATTGGTACTTGGAAGCAGAAATTATTGTACCGGAAAATTTGCTCAATTATTAATACATACAGGGTGTCCCAAAGATGTTGCGGGTCCTTAAAGGGGGTGATTCGGGGGATGATTGCAAACAACTTTTTCCTTTGTGAAAATGCTCTCCGGGGTTTCGTTAACGAGATATTAACAAAAAGCACCGACCAATCAGATCGCGCGCTTTCCGCCCGAGCTCCCATGCTAGCATGGCTACGCGCCGTGCTAGCGTGGCTACGCGCCGCGCTGCGACTTGTGAACAAGCAACTCGGCATGCAACGAGGAAAATTGCGTAGAATGGCAAATGAAAAAGGCGTAGCAAATAAAATCGAACACGTTGTCATGGTTTGTTTGTTATTTAAAGTGAATGATGAATAAAGGATAAATAGATGAAAATCACGTGTAACGTAAAAAGACGAATACACATTTTTTTTAGAGGATTCGAAAATAATAGTTATTTGAAGTGGGAGGATATGGAATACGTAAAATTCCTTGTGTCAATAACGTATCCACGAAAAGGAAATTAACGAAAACGTGAAGTGAATATTCGATACGTTGACCTGGACGCACCTGACATTGCGACCCTTAACTTTGGGTAGTGTCGTATACCTGGGATCAGCTGTGCACTGGGCTCGTCCATCGATGACCAGGATCGGTTCAGTGACCCAGTGACACAAGTTTTCAAGTTACAGGTGCATTTTCGACAAGGGTGAGTTTTAGTCAGTTTATTGGTAATCATTCATTTTTAAATTTAACGCAAGCTATGGCTTGTTTCCGGCAATAATTCTTAAAATTCTCGTACGAAAATATTTATCCGGGCTTTTTAAACAGACTTATTCGTTATCAGCAACAGTGCTGGTCGTTATTAAATTACGGATTTATATCACAATAACGAACTACGATCACTTTTCGTTAATTTCCTTTTCGTGGATACGTTATTGACACAAGGAATTTTACGTATTCCATATCCTCCCACTTCAAATAACTATTATTTTCGAATCCTCTAAAAAAAATGTGTATTCGTCTTTTTACGTTACACGTGATTTTCATCTATTTATCCTTTATTCATCATTCACTTTAAATAACAAACAAACCATGACAACGTGTTCGATTTTATTTGCTACGCCTTTTTCATTTGCCATTCTACGCAATTTTCCTCGTTGCATGCCGAGTTGCTTGTTCACAAGTCGCAGCGCGGCGCGTAGCCACGCTAGCACGGCGCGTAGCCATGCTAGTGTGATACCACCCGCATTCGTCAGTACAAACAACCGCGTCAGCACTCCTCGCCAAAAACATTTGAATCACCATCCATATCTTCACCACGCAGCAATAACATCTGAGTCACCATCCACATCACCACCTAGTAGCAACAACAGCTGAGTCAGACATCAGGCCCAAAACCAAGCACCCCTACTCTACGGCCATACCGACCTTTATAAACCCTTCGCCAAAATAAAGCACAGACCAGTATTTCACAAGTCGAGACTCGCGTAACGTTACTCTGTCCGTCCCTTATCATCAGCTACGGCATAAGTCGCGACAGAAGGCAACAGTGTACGCACGTTACCTTAAAGTTTCGCGAGTTCGTGTTTTTTTTCAAGTGACGCGTAAAGTCCCGTCACACTAGCATGGGAGCTCGGGCGGAAAGCGCGCGATCTGATTGGTCGGTGCTTTTTGTTAATATCTCGTTAACGAAACCCCGGAGAGCATTTTCACAAAGGAAAAAGTTGTTTGCAATCATCCCCCGAATCACCCCCTTTAAGGACCCGCAACATCTTTGGGACACCCTGTATATTGGGTTGGCGATAAAGATCCTTTATTTTTAATTAAGTTCCTTTGAATTTACATTTTATGAGAAAAGTGGAACAATCAATTTTAAATGTCTGTCATTAGGTTCAAACAAAAATAATTATGTCTAGGTGCTTTTGTAATTTTAATTCAGATTTTGCAGTGTTTATATTTTTTATTCGAATTTCTAGAGATTATGTTTTCAATACATTAATAAATTATAATAGAATATAAATTACATAACAAATATAACTTTTTGATTCCGCACCATGGTTATCACATTTGAACTACACGGTTACTAAAATATTAAAAAACAAATTGGAAGTAAATCTATGAATTCAGTATAAAATAACAAACTGTACTACAACAACACTTTTTATCTCATACTAACAAACTCCATAGTTACTAAAACTAACATATTAATAATATGATATGTTTACCTTGTTATCCATATGTTGTAGGTCAAGGTATATTTACATTTCGTACCAAAGATAAACCTACAACATGGTCTCACATATGTATTATTCTCTATTCAAAGTACGATCTCAGTATCAGACAATAATCGTTATACATCCAACTGTAATTTTTTAATACGTTCCGTATTTCAAGTAAAAAGTGTACGATAAAACATTATTAATTATTCCACATATGCACCTCGCTATTTTAGTATTGCCTTAAAAGTGTGAAGTATGACGCTGCGGTACTTAAAACCTGTAACGCATGATACAAATTGATCGTCTTATTATTGATTAGAAATTTTTAGCTAAAACAAGTTTTTAATGGGCGAAGTGTATGAATATAAGATATTCTTTTCAATTCGCGTGCACAAAAATTGTAGGAAAGTTTTCACAATTATATTCCGCAATAACATTACTCGACAATTTATACGATTAACGGGTATTATGAGTTATATTAATACGATTCTTTGATTGCGCGTTCAAAATGGGCACTTAGATAATGGTTCATCGAGTTAGTAGACTAAATTTTCAGTCATCGTAGGCGCCTCAGTGTACTGATGAAGTTACTTGTAATGTTGACTAAAAATTGGTATTTCTATAGGAAGCATGGTCTTCCAATTGAAAATATAGAACTGTTTTAGTTGACAGATGTAAAACTGTTAATTACCGTAGTATACGTTTCGAGGGACACAACAAAGAATCCACTAGCATTTAGGCAACAAGGAACTCTAGATCTCATCATGACAAGTATTAAGTCCTTTCGTAGCGCACTTCCATCTTTGTTCATAGGCAACTGTGTCCACGGTGCTGCGTAGACAGCTGCAGCTATTTGTGTACTTTCTTGTATCAAACAGTCACAGCTGTAGGTGAACATCAACAGCTGGCACATGCAGCCCGTTATGTGAAATGCGAAAATTAGACGCCTTGATAGACTCGCTGCTTCCTGTTTGATGAAAAGAAATGCAGAATAATAGCATACATGCAGAATGCTGGAATATTATCCTTATATTTACAACACCTACTAACCAAGAGAACCAGATATCCATCGAGGCATATTAATAAACTAAAGATTATCACTTGTCCCAGTCCGACTGCCGCGAATACTTCTTGGAGCCTACTGCAGTATTTTATAAGTGCCTGATGTTGTTTAACGTACATTTTAAATGCTTCTAAACATTCGTCTGCCTGATACAAAGGATTTTGAAACGAAGCTTCTTTCAGCTTCGTTTCGTCTTTCAGTGAAACCAGGTTTTCTATCCTGTATTGTAATATACGAAACTGACTAGCTACGTGGAGATTCAAGACACACAGGAAGTTGTCCAGGCATAGATAGCATACGCCGATATGGTATAAAGTCAGTACCTGCGCAAGTGTAAAAAGTATACACAGAAATGATTTTCATAATTTTATTCTATTTGTAGCAAAATTGCATGAAATTCCCACTTTTGAACAGTATAATTTTGCTTCAAAATATTTTTCATTAGACGTACTATAATATTATATTTCGTTTACGGATTAAAAAAATAAAAAAAAAACTTACACGTACGCTGTGTTCAATTCATATTCTTTGATTCACTAGTAGCTTAAAATCCTGTACAAGAACAATACAAAATGGACGTAGAGGAACATACTTTTCAGAAATGCAGTGGTAGGAAATTAATTTAAAATACCTGTATTGTGAACGTTATCTCAAAATACGGCGTTACGGTGAATGGCAAGTCAAGCCATATTTTAAATGGAAGTATCCTGTCAGAGTCGTTTTTTCCTATATTTGCTAAAAATGTTTATAGAATTTCGTCGATAGGCTGTTATCCGATTCTGAATGTTAATTATTATATAGTATCTCAGTTTGTATTTTTTACAATGAGGTGAAATGTCTTACTAATTTTGAATAATATCAGGTCAGAGAAATAATTGTAAAAATTGTAATTATATTTTATAACATAAATTACACAAGGTGAGTTACTTGAATCGGAACACCTGACGTCTATCCTAAATTTGAAGATAATTATACGTTTTGTCTGTGTTCCATGCATTTGTTTCTGTCTTTCCGAATCTAGGATAGATATTTAGTTGCTCTGTTACCGATTACATATCCTGCAGAGTATTATACTTCCCGTCTTCAGATGAACCAGACCGTCGATTCACTTGAAGACGGGAATAACTCTATCACGTATTTTCTTGAAGTGTTTGGCTAACCGATTGCACATTCTAAAACAGCTGCATTTCGTCTGAATTTGTAATTTAAAAGCTTCGTAAAAATAATACGGATGTAGAACAGTGGCAGTGTAATGTGTTTTCGTTTTGTGGTAGTCTCAGCGAAAAGTCTTACCAATCATGGGGCCTACTGCATAGCTAATAGCTGTGCCTTGCGAAAAGAAACAGAAGATACAAATTAGACAAGTACAGATACGCTTGCAATTGCCCATAACAGTTTTCTCGTAAGGGTCATAATTCGTATGCCAAAAATTCTTCTGGGTGTACAAAATCAACTCGAGAAATGCCTTTCTGTGCTTGAATAGGATAAGTATCTTGAAAGAAATCGTGATCAGTGTTATGGCGTTGCATATGCTGTAAATGCAATCCTATAATCAGAAATCACGACATGCATATTTTAAGGAAACATGGGTATACAACAATTTCATATACATATGTGTAATGTTATATAACATTAACGAGTGAATTCTAAAATGCAATAGCAGTCAAAAGAAGATATCTTGCTGGCACTGAAACATCTTTCTACACAAAATCAACGTAATTTAAAACATTACTCCCAAACTTCCTTTAAAAAATGGACACTTTAGTAATGAACGACTCAAATCTTTCTGATAGACTATACAGGGTGTTCGGCTACCTCTAGCAAAAATTTTAATGAGCAATAGTAGATGCCAAAATAAGACGAAAATCAAGAATACCAGTTTGTTGATGGAAGCTTCGTTAAAAAGTTATTAACGTTTAAAGTGCCGCCCTTACTAAATTTTTTTCTCGAAAATGCGCAAGATTTCGGGGGTATGTCTATTCACCAAAAATGACTGTAATTGAACCCTACAACCGAAAATAATTTTTCCACAACGATTTGCAATTTTTTAATTTTCTCGAATAATTTCACACCTTCTCTATTTTTTTTCTCGAAAGTGGGCAGGATTTCGTGGGTATGTCTAATGACAAAAACTGATTGTAATTGACCCCCGCAACCGAAAATAATTTTTCCACAACGATTTGCAATTTTTTTTCTCCGTTGAAAAATTTAGGCACCTAATTGGATTTTCAGTAAGGAATTTTTTTCTCGAAAGTGCGTACAATTTCGGAGGTATGTGTAATGATAAAAAATGATTGTAATTGATCCCCGCAACCGAAAATAATTTTTTTAGAACGATTTGAAAAATTTTTTTTCGCCGAAAAATTTCACCACCTACTCGATTTTTTTTCTCGAAAGTAGATAGGATTTCGGAGGTATGTGTACTCACCAAAAATTATTGTAGTTGACCCCCGCAACCGAAAATAATTTTTCCAGAACGATTTGAAATTTTTGAATTTAATTGTTAATAACTTTTTAACGAAGCTTCCATCAACAAATTAGTATTCTTGATTTTCGTCTTATTTTGGCCTCTACTATCGCTCATTAAAATTTTTGCTAGAGGTGGCCGAACACCCTGTATATGGCGATTCTAGAAACTGTGGCCAGCTGTAGTTCGTTTCTAAGAGATGCTATAAAGTTAATGAAATTCAGATTCGAAGATCAGAAATTTTTGGAATAACGTCACTGTTTTAAAATTAAAGTTTATTTGCCCCACACCAAGAACATTATCCACGTTCTTCTCACACTCACAGCGAATTCATCCATGGAGTGGTAAGCATCCGTCGTTTGGACAACGAAGGAAAAGCATACAGCCCAGACCGAATAAATAAAGGCAATTTTCCTCCGACGTTCCTCGATTTTATTCTTTGCTGGCCAAATCCCGACTACTTTCATATAAAACGACGTTGCAATGAGCGAAAGGTCTCTACTGTGTTCCGTAGACATAGCGAATTTCGGATGCCTGTCCGTGGACAATTTTCAACTTTCATAAAGATCTCAATGCCGATGGTCATTGGCGTGAAGACTAACTAAGTTCACGTGACATACTATATGTGATATATTCTTTCCTCAAGATTCACGAGTCTAGAACATATTCGATCCGTGCATCCTTTCTAGCACTGTATAAGCTATGCGGGGTGAATAACTAGCATAATTACAGCTGTCAGGGATGAAGTGGAAACATAGTCGGTTAAGCTGCTGTAATAATGTATGAAGAAGGGTTGTTGATTTCCACGGGTAAGAATTGGCACGCAAGTAAAATGAATCGTTATAAAGTAGTGCCATCTCCATTACTGGCGAGGCAATTGTCTTTCTAACTTGTAAGTATGTATTATTACAGTCACCCCTTTAACGTTGCGAAGATAATTCTGTTCCTTACATTATTCACATTCTAAACGACAGTCAGGATGGTCAGTTCTTGCCAAGAACCAATCCGTGAGTGCAGAGTTGAATGTAAATCTGAACGAGAAATAACATAATGTAATGAATCTTATTCATACTGTACAAGTTAAACTCGTTGTTCGGAGAATTTGTGTCTGACCATTCGTTATGTACATAGGTAGACAATCTGCAATTTATACGTTCCGTTTTCCCCAATATATTTTCAATGCTGAAACGTAGCCTCAAAAATTGATATTAACACGCATTGTACAAAGAGTCTGTTGGCAAAATAAAAAACAACGATCAAATGATTGTTGTTTATTGCTTAATGTAATCAAACAATGGTAAAATCGATTTCTTTAAAACGTAAAAAGAATCATTCCTTAAGGTTTGTCATCCATAAGTCTGTTCGTTTATCAACTTTCAGATTTACTGATTATTTTTTAATTAGCCAGTGCTGTATAGAAGGTGTTTGAAATCGTGGTTGTATTAATATTATGTAGAAAGATTTGTGTTGCGTAGCAACGTATTCCAGCCTCAAGGCCATAGTAATTTCGACCGCAGCGCAAAGAAAAACCCTGCAGCCCTGTACGTACTAATACAAGGACACTACAGAACAATAGCGACATTTGGCCGCTGAAAACCTTCCCAAAGGACCCCGCACAGATCTTATGAAAAGTGGCCCCCGGTTAAATTAGCTGAACTTTTGATATGATGTAGTTCATTATGTCTTGATGAAAAGTTCCAATGAACCCAAGCTCGTAAATTGAACAGTTTCCGAGATACAGGGGATCAAAAGTCAATAATAGTGCGCCTTATTCTAGACTACCACGTTTCAGCATATTTGAGTGTAAGAAGCACTGTTGTACACTGTCCATTTTGTTCAGCGCGCACACTTATCTTTTTCTGGTTCTGTGATGCGCTTCAAGCGGTAACTTAATAGCGCTTGAATATTTGGTGGTTGGTGTAATAATTGAGATACAATTAACTATTTTTAATATTTAATAATCTATCTTAGTCTACTACAGTGCGGTCTTCACCTTTCTTGTTTAACTTTGTTTCCTGATTTAAAAAATGTTTATTTGATGGTAACCGATTCAAACTTTTTGTTGTTATGCCTCTCCCCGTCAGAAAAACTACCCTTAAATACAAATCGGCCTTGGGTTCTGACGGGGATGAGGCACGCGGATTGGCTGCTGTGGTATTTTGAATTTTGTCAGGGAAGGCGGTCGTTTTCCCTGATTGGAGAAGTATTTGTCGAAAATATTACAGGTGACCGCCTCCAAGCCATCGGTCACCGTTAGGTACAGAGGGCACTATCGAATGACGTCCGGGAAATTCCGCGTGCCTCGACCGTAGCAGGTAATAATTTTTATGAAGCGCCTTGACCTTACTAAGACATGCAAAAATGTTTAAGCCTAAAATAGAGAACCAAATTGCGGATTATAAAACGGCGTGGAAGACAACCGATGGTCGATGGCTTCATAAACTTATTCTTGCTATGGATCAGGGGGGTTTCTTTAGACCTTTTGGCGGGCGTACATGGGTCCCGCTGTAATTAATATTGTTACCTGGTAACACATTTATTTGACCCCTTAAAACTCAATAGTAGTACTGTGGGCCCTTAAATATTACCCCTTGACCCCCTAACACTCTGACAAAATAAAAAAAAAGCCAAAAAGGTGAAAAATGGTTCTCTTTTTCAATGTACAAACATAAAGCACCGTCGACAGTAGCATTACCCAGTGTGTACCACGAAGAGGTTGCTCGATCGGATTTTGCACACCAAGTGGCCCTGAAAAGGGCCGTTTTTATAATTCTCTCTATTCGGCCATAAGAATTTCAACATTCATATTGACTTGATGCCCCCTATTAGCGGCATCTCTGGTCGTATTTAGAAAATTGCCATTCGAATATTTGGCATGCCTTTGATGACGAGCAAATCCTAAAAACCTTAAAACTCTTGCAATATGTGCGCATGCACCCAATGTTTTGGCACCAGATTGACAGGTGCAGTAGTAACCATTTATTACTTCCTCTTCTAGTTCCAGTTCATTTTCGCGAATGTGAGAAATAAGAATTTGATGTTTGGTACAATTCCGAAATTGTGAATAAACTTTTAGTTTTCTAAGGCTGTTATCTACCAACGAAGTGCCAAACTATAATTCATCGTCATCATCTTTTTGCAGCAGAGGGTCAGGGAATCTAGGGGTAATATTTAAGGGCCCGCAGTACTACTATTGAGTTTTAAGCGGTCAAATAAATGGTCAGTGTACAACAGTGCTTCTTACACTCAAATATGCTGAAACGTGGTAGTCTAGAATAAGGCGCACTATTATTGAGTTTTGATCCCCCGTATCTCGGGAACTGTTTAATTTACGAGCTTAGGCCCATTGGAATTTTTTATCAAGACATAACGAATTACATCATATCAAAAGTTCAGCTATTTTAACCAGGGGCCATTTTCCATAAGATCTGTACGGGGTCCTTTAGAAAATAGTATCATGTTTTTACAACCTAGGTACCGTCACCTTTTGCATCGACCTCGACCTTTTCTTTCCAAGACTTTCTTCTCCTAAAAACCATCCCACGACTTTTCCAATCACCAATTATAGAATTGTATCCTCCCAAGTCTTTCCACCACTTAAAATATCCTACACCAATCAGGACTCCTCTGACATGTAATGCTAAGTAAACATTATCATCGCTAACAGTTCGTTCCAAAATCGAAATCATAGAGAACCAAGAATAGTGCTCTTTTGGAATACATACCGACTAACTGTAAAATTTACATAGTCTCAGCGCGATTCGGTTATGTCTTGTAACGGAACAGTGTATTCGTGGTAAACTGACCGAGCACTCGCCTACGACGTTCAACAATCTGTTATGAGATACGATAGAATAATTTGTCAGTGTACATTAGTGAAATTAACAACAAACAGTGGTAAAAACTTATTTATGTTGATTAAATTACAGATCGCGAACACTTTTGTACAATATTTAATTTTGTCTTCGTTTGTATTTATATTATGAACGATAAAGGATGGAAATAAATTCAATTCAATGGCACCAATTTTACTAAATGCAAACAAACGATGCTACAAATAAGGTACAAGAATATTATATTATTGAGACCTATACTACGAAAATATTTGGTCCTTTTGCATTTGATCCACATACACAAGTATTAACAATTTCATTTATTATTACTCGAAGTGTAGTTTGTAACTTTAATTAATCATGGACTGCCTCAATAAAGTGAAATAAGACATTGCGGTGCTAAGAACCTGCAACAAAAAACGTTGGATTTAGAAAAGCTCGGGGAAGAGGGAATAACACAAAGTAGCAAAAAGAATTTAATGATTCGTGAATCCATTTATTATAAATGGGAATAAAAATATTATAGTTTTGATGATTTTTTAATGTTCATCAACGAATATAAAAATCTCACGAAGCAATTAAAATTCAGGTAACAAATTTTTGCGATCAACGGTTACTTCTAGGGTACAAAAAGAGTAGCGAAATTGAAGATTTAGATCAGAAACAAAATAAATGGAGGAGTTATCGTACCGTGGTACAAGTTTCCAAGGACACGGCAGAGAATCCACAAGCAGTTAGACAGCAGGGCTTTCTCGATCGTAAAATAACCATATTCAAATCTTTTCGTAGCTTTTTGCCCGCTTTGTTCATCGGTAGATTTATCCATGGTCCAGAATATATCGCTGTTCCTATATTTGAACTTTCTTCTATTAAATTATCGCAGCTGGATGTAAACAGGAGTAACGCGCATAAGTTGCCCAGTATATTGAATATAAAAATAAGACGTCTAGTTTTTGCCGACTCAGCCTGAATTGCAAATCACAGGTCTCTAAAATATACTTCCGGATGGACTGTGTACAATTTGAAAATGATAAATACGAACCAGAAATATTTGGTAGCCCACGAGGCACATTAAAAAGCTGAAGAGAAGGATGTGCGCCAGCACTATTATATTAAATATACTTTCCAGCCGATTGCAATACTGAATGTGCGCCTCGTGCTGTTGTACGTAGCATTTAAATCGCGAATAACATTTTTCTGTATAAGCTGACAAATTTACGCTCGATGTATTTTCGGTTATTTTCTGGGTATCTGTGCCACCCAAGTTTTTCAGCCTGTACTGCAATATGCGAAACTGAGTGGCTGTGTGTAAGTTTATTAGGCACAACAGATTGTCGAAGCAAATGTAACACACGCCGATGTGATACACAGAGAGAGCCTGTGTAAATAAGAAAATTACGTAGAATTTTTATGATGTACAGTACTGCATCACGTTTTGCAATCAAATTTGAACAGCTAGATTTCATATGATTCGTTTTTAATTACAGAACTGCTGGCTACTCGAGTTGCTGGGTGGTATTCGAGGAATGTAAATGGCAGTAAAACGAGCCCGAAGCAAGTATCCCTAACGCAGATTGATGCAAAAAGTGAGAAAGTATTGTACCAGTTTGCTTATTCGTTTCAGAAACTATATTATAATGGAGGTTATTTCTGAACGATCATAAACGGTAAATAGATTCTGTTTCGATTATACTAACTCAAAAAAACATTTGATCATTGTTGTAATCGATATTAAAGCTTCCATAAATCACTTTTTATAAATAGAAGAGGTCTTTTCAAATTTTGGCAATCCTTGGAACACAAGTTCTGCAAGTCTCTTTCGATTCATCCAGCACTTTAAATTGTTATTTTAACTAATATAACTGAAGATTGTATCAAACTTTTTTTTCGATTGAATAATGATAGTTGAGTAGTAATATTCGTGCAATAATTTTTGAATACTCAAATATTCGAATAGTGGCAATCTTAGTTAATAATTTCATGTTATCTAAACACTTGTTTTGGGATCCTACAATCTAGGAGTGCCTACAAGACTAAAAGGCATTGCCAAATATAATATACCTGTGCCACAAACGTTATCTCGAAATACGGTGATTCGTATACAGGAAAGTCAACCCACATATGAAATGGAAGAACTCTGTCTGTGTGATTTCTTCCAATACTTTCTGAAATACAGACATTTATTCAGAACACGCGGTTAAATATTCAATGACATTCGAATGGAATGTAACTATTAAATTGTTTTAAAGGATTTAGTTTTCCTTCTTTGTCGTATCCAGTAAAGATTTCCTCAACGATCGTAGTTCATTTTATCTATTCTATTTTATGAAATTTTATGAAATATAGTTTCATGAGATACTAACATAATGTATTACTATTCAAATTAATCCATTTACCTAGAATAGGCGCTATCACGTAGCTGACAACCGTGGCTTGTACACAGAAATTGATTAATATCAGACTCACAGTGGAGATTCTTTTGCAGTTGATTATCATAATTTTCTCTGTGGGATCATAGTTCGTATGCCAAAAATGCTTGTGTGTGTACAAAAGCATTTCGATGAACTTTCTTCTGTTTGCAAATACAACTAACAACTTCAGTAAAACCATCATCAGACATAGAATGTTGCATGTTATGTAACAGCAGTCCTAGAATGAAAAAATTGTAACACATTTATTTATTAGAATTTGGATTATTGCATGAGTGAAGTAACGTTAGAATTGTCCATGTAAATATTGCAGGGAAGTATAATTAAACTTAACCGCAATAAAAATTGAAACAAAGAATAAATCCCCATAGTTCCAATTTGTAGGTTTAATAATTTATAAAAACACGAAACACAAGAATAGTTATTGAAACTGAAGACTGTTCGTTTCCAAAATAAATAATTAAATTTCCGGGTCGCGCTCCACGTATTCTGATAAAAAGAGAAATTTTTTAAAGGAATGTTAATAAATATTACAGTGATTATTAAGATTCATGTATGTACCGCAATTTGTGATTCAATTACATTTATCGAACCCCAAGTTACTTGAGCTACTTGAAGTCTATTTTTTAAATAGAAAAGATTTTTAAAAAGTCTCGTATACTCACGCCAAAGTTTGGCCAGGAATAGTAAAAGTCTCTTGTTTGAAGCCACACGCCGAACAAAACTGCAATAACCGTATATAACAACGTTAAGTCTCTTCGGCGTTGTTCCACGCGATTTTTCGCTATCCACAAACCGACAATTTTCATAAGGAAGCTTGTTATGCGAATAGAAATGTCTCGTTTATAAAGATCAGAATCTAGCGTCTTTGAACGATCAGAAATGCTAGTCTTTGGATCGTTCAAAGCCTTTCTCATTTTCTAAACAGTGTTACCGATTTCAAAGAGAAGTATTTCTGACTGACGTTATCAATTTCTGACACCTTTCAACAGTGCTCCTTCCGGTGTACGATTTTCTTGGCCAGACAAAAGAATGCTAAATTGTGCAAACGAAATTACAGTTCACGAATGTCTATCATTTGTTCGGGTCGATGAGCAATGTATAATTCAAGCTATAGACTTCTGTCACTTGCAGCGAAAATCAAACCAGCATGCTGCTGTGATATTGTAACTAGTGCCATGCTGGAAAAGGTAAGCAACAAAGGATAGCAAGTGAATAGCAAACTTCCTCAGTTTGACCTTGGATGTCTAAGAAGACGTTATTTACCAAGAAACAAGTGAGATTCTCTTTTTTTAACTGTTTTTCATTAACAATTGCTATTTGATCAAATCTTCTTTAGTTACGTCTATATTGACGCGTATAAACGTGTCAATGGAATATGGTTTCGTTTGTTTTGATAAGGAAGCTACTTACGATTTTTAAAAGGAATAGAATATGTCCATACATTTTGCTAACTACTCGAAGCGTGCGGGTGTTCGAACTTCCGGTCATTTAAATTCATTACCTTGGTTGGAAATTAACATTAAGTAATGCAGTGAAAGTTGATTGAATATATTTGCAAAAAATATTATTATCCGTACAAGAAAAATACTTTGATTTTTTGCATTTGATCCACAAATACAGGCATCAACAACAACATTTATTATTACTTGCAGAGTAATTTACAACTTTAGTTGAGCGCAGATTGCCTTAGTAAAGTGAAGTAGGACATGGCGGTGCTAATAACCTACGATAAAGATTTTTATGTTTCAAAACTAATATACCGAATTTATACATTCAGTTTTCAAAGACATTGACAGATGTTTCAAATTTTTGAAAAAGGATAAACCTCTAGTGATCAGTGAAACTTTTTAAAAAATTTTAAATAAAGAAACAATTAGTTCTTATAAAGTATTATTTCTGAAGAACGATATGGGTTACTATTAAATGTCAAATTGTTATATTATAATGTACTCCTTTATTGGTACGTTTGATTAAGATTGAGATTAACGAAGAGGTCGTATAAATAAATATATAGAAGAATGTGAATGACGTACCTTGGTACAAGTTCCCAAAGACACAGGAAAGAATCCACAAGCAGTTAGACAGCAAGGCTTTCTCGATCGTAAAATAATCATATTCAAATCTTTCCGTAATGTTTTGCCCATACTATTCATCGACAGATTTATCCATGGTCCTGAATATATCGCCGTTCCTATATTTGAACTTTCTTCTATTAAACTGTCGCAGCTGAATGTAAACAGCAGCAGCGAGCACAAATTGCCCGTTAGATTGAATATAAAAACAAAGCGTCTAGTTTTTGACGATTCAGCCTAAACAGATGTCAGACAATGTATTGTCAAAACAGACAATTGTATATAAATAAAAATGTACCTTACAAGATACATTTTGCCATCCGAGGAAAAGAGGATATTTAATTAATTATAGAAAATACCAATATTATTATTAGTGAAGTATGAAGAATGAGCAAGTCAACTTTAATTAAATAAAATATTAGAACAATAATAAATACGGGACTAATGCAATAAATTCTGTTTTCAAATAATAATTTTGTGCCAAATTAAATGTGGGAACTACTATGCCATTAATACAATAGAACCTCGATTATTCCACGAAATATGGACAATGTATAATTTCAGAAAGATAAATACAAACCAGAAATATTTGGTAACCCACTAGGCATATTAACAAGCTAAAGATGAGAATGTGTGCCAGGACTATTATCGTAAATATACTTTCCAATCTATTACAATACTGAATGTGCGCCTTGTGTTGTTGTACGCAACACTTGAATTGCGAGTAACATTCTTCCGAATAATTTGACTGAGCTGTACCCGATGTTTTTTTGAATATTTCTTTCGTGCTTTCACTGCCTAAGTTTCTCAGCCTGTATTGAAGTATGCGAAACTGAGTGGCTACATGCAGGTTTATAAGGCACAATAGATTGTCAAAACATACGTAACACACGCCGACGTGATACAAAGACAAAACCTGTATGAAGAAGAAATTTATATATAATTTTTTAAAAATCACACATATTGTTTTTACACCGCTAAAATTTTACGTTGAAACATTATTTCAACTATTACTAATTCCTTAACGTTCTTGAACAGTTATATTTTATGTAGACTATAGTAATATAAATTAATGTGAAATCGTTTAAATGCAACATGTTGATGACTGATTTTGAAATCTCTATAAAATTATGTGGGTTAAACTGTATATAATATATTTTAATTTCAAATTATGAAATTCAGGATCCTAAAATTAGAATCCTGTTTCTAATCATCGACTAAATTTTAAACGAATATTGTTTATAAAATCGATTCTTTAAACGTGTATTGTGTGGTTCTACGTTCTAACACTACAAAACTAAAAGGTATTGATAATTACAATACCTGTAGCACGAACAATATCTGGTAATACGGTGTTAAGTATAGAGGCAGATCAACCCACATATTAAATGGAAGAACTCTGTCCGACTGATTCTTCCCAATGTTTGCTGAAACACAGACGTTTATTCAGAATATGCGTTTAAGCGTTCAATGATTTTCGAATGGAATGTATTTTTCGGGGAGGAAAATGATTTTTCACAGATTGGTCTCGATATTCCTTCATTTTCTCTTCGATTATAGATTACAGAACGTCCGCTCTACCTCGACTAACTCGATTTAGTCTTCACACCTTCGTAGACCATCGAGCCCCTTTCTTAGGTAGTCACACTCCTTCCTTATCTTAATCCTGTATTTGCAAGCCCAATAACGGCATATTAACTTACCCATAATAGGCGTTAGCACATAACTGACGATCGTGCCTTGACAACAGAAGTTGATCAATGCGATACTCAAAGTGCAGAGTCTTTTACAATCAGCTATCATTACTTTCTCATTGGCATCGTAGTTTGTATGCCAAAAATGCTTGTGCGTGTACAAAAGCAGTTCGATGAAGTTTTTCCTGTGTATAAATACAACAGACACCTTCAGCAAAACCATCATCAGACATAGAATGTTGCATGCTGTGTAAACGCAGTCCTAGAGCAAAAAAGAACGTGTGTTCTGAAATTTCATACACTGACGCATGAAAAATATTTTTTTTCACAAAAAAGAATTAAGAACCACGGTCGTTCGAGAATTGAGAAATTTGATACACTCACGCCAAAGTTTGGCCAAGAATAGTAAAAGTCTCTCGTCTGGACCCATACACCGAATAGAATTGCAACAACTGTGTATATCAACGTTAAGTTCCTTCGACGTTGTTCCACGTGGTCTTTCGCTAACCATAAGCCAACGATTTTCATAAGGAAGGTTGCCAACAAAATAGACGCGTCATGTTTATAAAGAGTTTGTTCGGATGTCTCTGAGCGATCAGAAACGCTACTATCTCTTGGCTCGTACGATGTTTTGCCCATCTTCTGTCATACATTACACATTACAAAAAAAGAATGTATTTCGGATAAAAGTTATCAATTTCTGGTGACAACGATGGGGAACGATTCTCTTTCCGCGCGGTCTTCTTGATCAGAAACAGAATGCTTAGGAACGGCGAGAAAATTACAGTTCTCGAATGTCTATCATATGCACGGATCGTTAGATAATGTATAATTCAGGCGACAAACCTCTGACAGTTGCGGCGAAAATGGTAACCAGTGTGCTGTTGCGACATTGTAGCAGGTGTCATTCCGCAAAAGGGAACCTGACACGAACTAGCGCACCCCGCGTGTGTAGCAACTTCTTCAGTTCTATTTCCGGCGAATAAAAAAACTCTTTTTTTCTCCTATATTATATTACTATAATATTTTGTCATATATTCCTATATTACTCGTGTTTCTCCATTGAAATGGTTTTTGTTTCGTGTCAATCCAACTTTAATTTTAAAATTCCACCAATCTATCTCTCTATCGTACGATAACTCGTCTAATAACTCGTATTAAAAATACTAAAATTTATACGCGTGGAGTTCGGAAACTACTCATGTTTTATCCATAATTAAGCAACTGTTAGAAGCGGCAAAGATTGCTTTTTAAAATGGTTTTTAGTTTATGTCGATCCGACTTTCCGTTTTCGAGGTATCGTAATTTATGTAAAAGGCAATTTTTTTAATTCGACTATCTCTGTCTTCGTCTAACGAGTCGGGTCATCCTCTTGCACGTGCGTCGTGAGAAACGTGACCGAGTGACGTAATATTTACTATTTACTGCGAGCGTGAGCGGTCAATGACCTTACCAAGGCAGTAGTGAAAGTTCACTGACTTCGCGACGTAAACAATGAAAAGTAAACAAACGCTTCGGACCCTTACATCTCCGGAATTAATTACGCTATCGGCTTGAACGTATTCTAGCATTTCATCTGTGCAACTAGTAGAACGATACAGTGAAGGGTTCAGTGTGCCAAGGCTTGAAATCGATAATTTTGTAATGGGTAATGTATATTCCTAAACCTATATTATGCATACATGGAATCTTATAAAATGATGCTTATGATCTTTTCTAATACAAATTATACATTTGTAATACGTAATATGTAATGCATATATTTACACGAGCATACAGAATGCGGAAAAAGTATAAATTCGTGATTTCATTTATGTATTTTCCATGTCAAGAGTTGACTGCCTTAATAGAGTAAAATACGACATCGCAGTACTGAGAACCTGCAATAAAAAAGTATAAATGTTATATTTTCAAAGATTATTACAGTTTTACAAATGTTAATATCGCGGGTAATCTGATTCTTTAAAATGTTTATATTTTGTCATAGCAAATTTGTTTAGCAAATAAATAACTGATATCGCTAATTTCCGTTGTAAAATAGGTAATTACCCCAGTGTAGGTTTCCAAAGATACGGGGAAAAATCCACTAGCTGTCAAACAACAAGATCTGTTGGATCTCATAATAATTATTGTTATATTTTTTCGCAGCAATTTGCCAGTTTTATCCATTGGAAAGGCAGCCCACGGCCCTGAAAATGTTGCACTGCCAACATTACCACTTTGTCGTATTAGACCATCACAACTGTATGTAAACATGAACAGCTGACATAAAACAGCTGCCATGTTAAGTATCAAGCTGACGCTTTTCGAGGTAGGTGTATCTGCCTGTTCAATTAAACGGTATTAATACAAACAAATCAGATAGAAATAACATATACATTGGGGAAAAAGTCTATATATATATAGCAGATCATTATGAATTAAAAGTGTCACATTACAATATGATTTTGTAATGTAAAAATACAATTATTTTTAATTTCTGTGTACTTAATTTACTAACCAGGAATAGTTGGTATCCCACGAGGCACATGACCATAGCTAAGAATAACACCTGACCAAGTACAATCATTGTAAATATATTCTCAAGCATTCTGCAGTATTCGGTGAGTGACTGATGTTGATGGACACAGTTTTTCAATTTTTGAGAGCACTCGTTCTCGTAACTTGACAAAATTTCATTGGAAGCTCGAGCACGAATTTGTTTCTTAACGATGTCGTTCAAACTCATCAACCTGTATTGCAGTACTCGAAACTGGCTAGATACATGTAGATTCGCGAGACACAAGAAATTGTCGAAGCAAATGTAACACACACCGACGTGATACACGCATAATATCTGTACAAATACGATTCACTTTCACTAACTGGGGAATTTTACAAAAATTTAAATAAGTCGTCATTTTATTTACTAATAGTCTTATCGTTCGAAACAGTCTTTCGATAAATCAACGGTTCAATGTTCATTTCCTTTAGGAATAGAAACGAACACTTTGTTTTACATAAGTACATAAAGGGAATTCCGGAAATGACAATACCTGTATTATGAATAATACTTCAAAGTAAGGAGATATCCCTGTGGGGAAATCCACCCACATATTAAACGGTAGTATCCTGTCAGATTCGTTCTTTCCAATATTTGCTGTGGAAAGAAAGAATCTCTGCCATAAAATATATTTAAGAAAACCATCGAGCCAAATTTTTTTCGAACGGTTTATTCCAAAGTTGAGTCATTTATCTAAATTGTGCTTATGTTAAGAATAAACAGCGAGGAAAAAAATCGAACAATATAATTGATACTCACGAAACTGCATTTTACGAATACAAGCGTAGAATTTTGTTGCATCTGTGTTTATATAGTTGAGCTCACCTAAAAGTGGTGTCACCATGTAACCAGCGCACGTGCCTTGAGTACAAAAACTAAGTACAACGATGAAAATAGCGCACAACCTCTTGCAGTCGTCCAGAATCAATTTTTCCTGTTGATCGTAATTCGAATGCCAGAAATTCGTTTGCGTGAACCGAACTAAATCAAAGAACTCCATTTTGTGTACGTACAAAACGGCGATCTTAAAGAGGACGATCATCAGGTACAAAATATTGCAAGAGATATAGACGCAATCCTGGAATAGTAAAATAATGAATAACACACTCGCAAAATGATACAAATTTTTTAACTGTTTCTAACGAAACAACGAACAAAATCTATTTATTCTATTTACGAAGAAACTATAATCTCATATATTATCTTCAACTTTTACTCTTTTCTTTCGCAGTATAATATTAAAGATATCTACAATTCCCGTTATTCCACGTTTTCTTTTTATCAAGAAAACCTCCGATAATTCCCCTGTTTTGGGCTTCAAAAATTAGATATATACGAGGTGTGTAAATTAAGTAATGAGACTGGCAACGTAGCGTTCGATCTGTCAACATTTGGAACACGGGACTTGGAGAGACGGTATGTGAACGTGTGATACGCCTTCGATACAAGTTTGTACCCGCTAGAATCATTTGGTTGTCCGTAGCAATTATTTTCGTAAAACAGTTGTTTCTACTGCGTTCTAACAATGAGTCAAAAGTCATGATTTGCTTTTTCGATAGCCAGGGAATCGTCCACAAACAGTTTGTGCCTCAAGGCCAAACGGTCAATCAACACTTTTACCGAGAGGTTCTAGAAAAATTTCGAAAAAGGGTCATGCGTGTGAGGCGAAACATTAAGAACGACTGGGTGTTGCATCACGACAATGCGCCTTGTCACACAGCAATTTCAGCAAATGAGTTTTTGGCCAGTAAAAACATTCCTGTGGCTCCTCAGCCTCCTTGTTCGCCTGACTTGAGTTCTTGTGATTTTTCCTCTTCACGCGATTGAAAAATCACCTCAAGGGACGTCATTTTGGAACACTCGAAAACATTGAAGCGACTGTAACCGACCAGCTGAAGGGTATATCAGTATCCGAGTTACAGCGGTGCTACGAGGATTGGAAGAATCGTCTCCAGCGCTGTGTGGCTTCCCAAGGAAGTTATTTTGAGGGAGATAATATTGAATTGTAATTCTATTTGAATGAAAAAATTTTATAAAATCAGTCTCATTACTTAATTTACACACCTCGTACGCCTAACAATTTTTCACGCTGCAACAGGTTTTTGTAACGTATCGATCCTAGGAACGCAGAAACATCTTCCTCTTTTTCAAGTTAAGACAGCGTTGAATTCTTGTTCACTAACATTGAAATTTCCCCACGAGTAATAGAAATCCCTTATCGCGATGCACGCGGCGATAAAGAGTGTTGAGATCGTGTAGACCAACGCGAAATTTCTGCGGCGTTGTTCGGCGCGATCGGCAGCCAGCCACAAACCAACGGTTTTCATTAAGAAGCATGTCCAAGCGATGGATATGTCTTTACTCTGTGCCGAGCGCATGGCAGAATTCTAATAGTTGCAAATATTCTTCTCTGTCTCGTACGATAGCGTTCATATCGATTTCCGTGAAACGGAGGAAGGAACGTCTTTTCTTCTGACAACACTTTCACCTGTCGATTCTTTTTTGCGCCGGTCTCTGATTTCGCGTATCCGCGTGTCCTGTCCGGCGTGGCAAAAAAGGTGTTGGAAATTTAACGGGTGCATTATTGATGGTTGAAGGGAAATGAACGCAGCACCCCACAGAACAACAAAGAGACCATGACTGGTGAATCGAGCACCGTGCCTTTAGATGTACCTAGTTGCTAGCGATCGGAGTGTGTCAGTTTTAAGCGACACGACGTAGTCTCGCCATTTTCAAAGGTAAATGGATTCGAATTAAGTGTCACGCACTCTGTAAGACGAGTACAGGAAAGCTTATCAATTTATTCAAAATTTCATCATGGTTTTGGGCGTATATATTTATTACTCGATGAGAAAATTGGTTCCTTCCACATTCGAGTGACTTGTTTAACTCGCGATAAAAATAAATGAAATGAAGTATCACTGTTTTTAGTATTCTTCGAGTGAAATAGCATTTCAAAAGATTCTGACAACAAACAAAATATTTTATTCTGATAGTTACACAGTTTGAGTCCTCTCTATGAAATAAACACGTTTGAGGCATTACCAAACTTTTTTGGGACCTCGATGCTAGAAAACTTGTTAAATCAGGTATGAAGAGCAATTATACTTGATCAGAAGAAATTATTTTCTTCTGTAACCTACAGATATTGCATTTTATTGCTCTTCATAGATATTTATAACTAATTGTAGAAGTGTTTACTACTTTTATTAAGAAATTCGTGAGCTAAAGGGAAACTGGGATTGTAATCCATTCAGTCATTCTGACAATATTGTTGCACTTATTTGAACGTAAATATGATACGTGCATTTAACGACCGATGTTTTCACAATAAATTAAAGATTGAATGGTTTCAGAACGGATACTTGAAATTAGCTTATGCCTGTGAATGCAGTTTGTAATGTTATATTTAATTTTCGAAGAACATTGATAATGTACAGAAATCTGTAATTTATAAAAATTACCAAAGAATTAAATTATTATATTTGAGATTCGTATAAATTGTAAAGTTATATTTTGTTCGTTAAAATCGCGTATACCTTCGGTTTGATTCAGATTTACGGCCAAACATTCTAACATGAATAATGTAAATGATAATAAGTGGTTACATATTTCCATATGATATATCTTTGCATAATTTACATAAACACATATGAAAAAAAAGTATTATTGCGTAAGAATATCTTGCTGTACCGGTTACTAGATTTGTTAAACATTGATACCACAAACTGTATTTAATATTTTATTAATTGCTTATAATATTGTGGGATCGGGAAGATAATGACTCCGCTCTGTTCCGTTCCGCACAATTGTATTGTTGCTGTCGTACAACGACGTGACTCGTGGTGCGGGTTACGCTCGACTCTCTGGTACGATCATCGCCACCGTACCAAGAGGCCTTCAAAAACAAAAGACGGTCAGAGACGACGACAACGGCTTTTCGGCTCACGCGGCTCTGGTCGTCTCGTGTGCAACCATACATTGTAGCGGCTTCGAACGGCTAAGGCGTATGTGGTGCCTTGGCCGCCACAATAAAAATTATCTATCACCTAATCAAAGAACCATACAAATTTCAGAGACGAACAAAAATGGAAATTAAGCATCAAAATTAAACTACATCTGATGATCCCACGGTGGATGATGATGTCTTCTGCGATGTCCTCGCGATAAATCTAAAAGTAAGTCTGCAAATTTCATTTAGGAATATAGAAAAATAAGAGTTTAACTTTATCAAATTGTATTAAACAAAATATCACATAACACAGGACCCCGCACAGATCTTATGGAAAATGGCGCCCGGTTCAAATAGCTGAACTTTTGATATGATGTAGTTCGTTATGTCTTGATAAAAAATTCCAATGGGCCTAAGCTCGTAAATTGAACAGTTCTCGAGATACGGGGGATCAAAACTCAATAATAGTGCGCCTTATTCTAGACTACCACGTTTGAGCATATTTGAGTGTAAGAAGCACTGTTTTACATTGTCCATTTATTTGACCGCTTAAAACTCAATAGTAGTACTGCGGGCCCTTAAATATTACTCCTAGATTCCCTGACCCTCTGCTGCAAAAAGATGATGACGATGAATTATAGATTGACACTTCGTTGGTAGATAACAGCCTTAGAAAACTAAAAGTTTATTCAAAATTTCGGAATTGTACCAAACATCAAGTCCTTATTTCTCTGTTACATATCATTCATGCATGGGGCTGAAACGTTTGGTGACTTGGGCGTTGGCTCGAGCATCTAGCGTGCAACCCTTTGAACGGGGTTGACTCATGCCGTATGCGCACACCCGGCCCAACTTTCATTTCCTTTTATGGTAATGCCCCGCCTTAGTACTGAGCATTTTCAACTATATGTATAAGGGCCGCGGTTTCTTACTCGGGGAGCTCAGTTTTACCTAAACTCTCGGCACGACGTTACTGTGGCACTCAGGGCAAGATCGGGCTATAATCCCCTTCAAGCAACTATCTACGACTATCTACCTTAGCGGTTTATCAGTGAGTGTCCATTAATCGAGTAGGAGCTCCCGCGAACGCGCCGCGTAAAAGCCGATAACAAATCTTGCGCCTTCGAGGCAATTTAGCAATTGTACAACTTCTTGTAAATCCATAGCTGTACTTGAGCATCGTCAAAAATATATATTGAAGTAGCATTCCTTACGTGTGTTATTCACTCAATTCAACCCTGAACCATATTAACCGTAAGGCTAGGGGTATCTCACGAATCCGGTACACCTTTACCGCTCGAGGTGTACCATCACGACAGAGAGCAAGATCCTAAAAACATCCTAAAACCCTACGTAGCTCCCAGGGTATAAAGCCCCTGGTTCGTCCACTTCTACTAGCGACTCCCAGGGTATAGAGCCCCTGGTTCGTCCGTGAAACCTTACATCTTCCCTATAAATCTAACCCCGTGGCTTCCAGGGTATAGAGCCCCTGGTTCGTCCACGTAACCTCCACCTTCGGCTCCCAGGGTATAGAGCCCCTGGTTCGTCCGTGAAACCTTACATCTTCCCTATAAATCTAACCCCGTGGCTCCCAGGGTATAGAGCCCCTGGTTCGTCCACGTAACCTCCACCTACGGCTCCCAGGGTATAGAGCCCCTGGTTCGTCCGGACCTCCTTTCTTTTCCTAACCATACCCAAAACCACCGGTCGAGTACTGACCCTCGACCGAATCCAGGATCTCGCGCTCGCGCTCGTAACATCTCACATTCGCGAAAATGAACTGGAACTAGAAGAGGAAGTAATAAATGGTTACTACTGCACCTGTCAATCTGGTTCCAACACATTGGGTACTATGCGCACATATTGCAAGAGTTTTAAGGTTTTTAGGATTTGCTCGTCATCAAAGGCATGCCAAATATTCGAATGGCAATTTTCTAAATACGGTCAGAGATGCCGCTAATAGGGGACATCAAGACAATATGAATGTTGAAATTCTTATGGCCGAATAGAGAGAATTATAAAAACGGCCCTTTTCAGGGCCACTTGGTGTGCAAAATCCGATCGAGCAACCTCTTCGTGGTACACACTGGGTAATGCTACTGTCGACGGTGCTTTATGTTTGTACATTGAAAAAGAGAATCATTTTTCACCTTTTTGGCTTTTTTTTATTTTGTCAGAGGGTTAGGGGGTCAAGGGGTAATATTTAAGGGCCCGCAGTACTACTATTGAGTTTTAAGGGGTCAAATAAATGGACAGTGTACAACAGTGCTTCTTACACTCAAATATGCTGAAACGTGGTAGTCTAGAATAAGGCGCACTATTATTGACTTTTGATCCCCTGTATCTCGGAAACTGTTCAATTTACGAGCTTGGGCCCATTGGAACTTTTCAGCAAGACATAATGAACTACATCATATCAAAAGTTCAGCTAATTTAATCGGGGCCCACTTTCCATAAGATCTGTGCAGGGTCCTTTCCTAATACTGCACATAATGAAACACACAAAAGTTCAATTATATTGTAGGAATGGATGTGTTGTGTGAATGTTTATTGATTGGTATGGCTGAGGAATGTTTCGAGTGATTCTATTGCAGAGCGAATACAATGTGTTTTGGAAAGATTGTGAAACAAGAGTGTTTGGGCCAGAGCATTTGAGATTATCTGACCGAATGCGTTTTTCGAATAACTGATGACGGTGAACGAAATAAAGTGAAAGGGAGAATGAAAGATACAGCAAAAGAAAATAAATTCAAGCAAACAGCTTCGGGAAAAGCGCGCAGCAAAAGAGAGAGTTTAGCGAGTTGTGAGAGAGTTTTCGTGAGATTTCGTGAGTTTTAGAAAAAAGAGAGAATAGTGAGAATTACCTCGATTTCCATTTACGAGGAATTTAATACAAATAATTCCTACACTATCAAACAGTATTAAATAATGAAACACACGTAGAAAAATCAAAGTTCAATTATATCAAGCAGTGTTAAACAAAATATCACATTACAAATCTCCTAATATCACACATAATAAACAGTTTAGTAAAATAATAAACGATTACAAAAATTATTCATCACCTAGCTAAAGGGCCATTCGTATTGCAACAAAAGCAATTAGGCAGTTAAGTAAAGCCAAATTGGAAGCAAACGATAAAATAGAAGTGGGGAGCGGATTTCTGAACATTTCTTACCGCTGGTTAACATTGGTCAGTAGTGGTCAGCACTGGTCACCTCTGGTCAGCACTGGTCAGCACTGGTCAGTAGTGGTCAGTAGAGGTCACCAGTGATCACCTGGGGTCACCTGGGGTCACCTGGGGTTAGCAACGGTCAGCAACCCTCGAAGGTTCCCTCCTTGTCATGTGTACGCACCCAAAATCGCGACGAGACCGATGAGCCTACCAATAGCCTTTTCTAACATGATGGAAATTTGGGGATTCTA